CTGAGACAGTTTTCAAAAGCAGATTCAAATGTAAAGTAGTTTTTATTTGATTTGTTGACTTTTTGATTTGTTTATCTTTTTAGCTTTATGAGATTTTCCAGTTCATTGACATACTTACTGGGGGCACATTTTCAGGGTATGACATAATAGTCTGTTTTCCTTCCTAGTAATATTTGCTGACTTTTGTATTTGACTTGTTTATTTAAGAATACAAACAGTAAAACCTTTTTCGTCCTCCCAATGGACATTCTCCCAATGTCTCCCTCACAGAGTTTTTGTGCAAGAGTTATACAGACTAGAAAACCTGTATCTGGAATTTTGTGGAGAGARGTTTTGTCTGGAGTTTTTAGTAGCAGGTATAAGATAGTGGTTTCTGTAGTTGCCTTAAATATACTCTGAAAGTACTGTTCCCATAGGTGGGAGTTGAATATGTAGAAGATTCTGTAATATAGTTCACAGTGCAATGACATCATCTTTATTTGTCAGTCAATAAGAACAGTATCTCCTTATTGCTAGCCATATACTTTGCCTTTAGTGGCATGAAAGCTCAAATAGTAACAAGCCACTTGTAACAAGAAAAACATTACATGTAGTTACTGAATAGTCTGGGAGATGCATCCTGAGATCCAGGTGGTGCCTAATTTATGCAAGTGTCACTTCTTGTAAATTATGAGATTAACTAAAATAAAAATTTTCTATTTATATGAATTACCTTTAGCCATTTCTGTTGTAGCAAACCAAAGCTTCTTTATTTTCAGGGGCCTAAGAATTGACCCAATCCTGATCTGTTTGCTTCTCATCAAGTAGCAGCTGTCTGCCTCCATGTGTTTGTGAAACTATCATCCATTTGCCTTTTCTTCGTGTCCTTATCTGTCCCAAGTAGTAGAATTCTGTGACCCTTCAAAAATTCAGTGGCTTGCAGTGATGCTTGGTGGGAGTCTTTACATACAGTAAGAGTAGCTTACTGATTTTTGATGCCTGCTTCCTTTGTAGAATACTGCATTCTCATTAGCATCCTGATAGCTAGGCATGTATTCTTAAGTGACTGAAATCCCACTAGACACATCTCTTTCTATTRCAAAGGCTAACCTTCATTTATGGACTGTATTTATTAAATTTTTCTGTTCTATATGTCTACAGTACCATATACATGCAATTCTGCATAGAGGTGTTTGAGATGTTAGAGCCAGCATTACCAGTGCATGGATTAATTTAGCAACAGGCAGACTAGAGTTTTAAAAGTTGCACTTTCCTTGCAAGAGAAGATTAAATCAGAAACCTTTGCAAGGATTGGACTAAATCTCAGCTATCACTTTTTATTTCCTCTGAAAAATGTCTTTAAATGTCTTTTGGAATTTTACAATGCTGCTGTAGTTTTAGAATTTGTTTTTGTGTTCTTATAAATGCTTGAGAATAGTCTTTCTTCTCAATTCACATTGTTGTCTTGTTAAGAGAAAAAGAGCAAAGGAAAYTTCAGTGCTTTGACTGCAGTACTGCCAAATAGCAGTGTTATGTACATTATCATCTGCACTGCAGTTTGGTAACATTTAGATTGTTCTTTCACTGCCTTAGGCTACCATGTGGCATGGACTCTAGACACTGCTTCAGGGAATGACTTCAGTCCCCATCATCRGTACTACTTCTTAAATGTGAAGCAACTGCTTTTTTTTTTCTTTGGATGTTGCACAGGACACTGAATCTGTTTACTTGCATCAAAAATTTTAGCCATTATAATCTTCCAGATTTTGAGCTGAATTCCTTGTTGATTTTAAGCCTCTGTCTACTCTACAATCATTGGACACAAGTCTGTTCAGAAAACTTTTTGCCTCATAGAGATAATGAATCCACTTAAAAACTTGCTGTAGTTGTTACAAAAGTAAGTGTGATACCAGGACATAAAATGGCATACTTTGTCTTCATCTGTGTATTACATCTGTCTCACAATCTCCATYAATGCCTGTCCACTGGTAGTTCTTGACTTAATAACTAATGATTAAGGAATCAGAAAGATTGACATTATGTTRTTTCAGAGGAGAAGGCTTTTTGAGTTGAGTTTTTTAAGGGGTTTGGGGGATTTGTTACAGTGCTAGTGCAGCTGCTTTTGTATACATATTACACAAATATGGCAGTGGGCACTCCTGGAGAACTTAAGAAACTGCCTGAATTTCTTATTGATGCTATGCTTCCATAACTGTATATGTGAGGCCTTTTGGCTGGCGAGGAGACTGCAGCTGGTTCTAGCAGAGTACAGCGTGGTCACAATACATAGTTCTGGCTGGAGTATTATCACCTCTTTGGATGCAAAGACATCTGTCCTCAGGAGACTCCAGCTGTTATGCAGGCTGCTGAAAGCTTTTCATAGTTATCCTGTTTTCTAAATTAGTACMCTACAGAGTGCCACAGGGTATGTCTATTTCTGAAATGTTATTTTGATTTGAAAATACTATGCCCAAGGCAATATATGGTACTCTTTATGGCCAACATATAGGAATATGACCAACAGCAGAACTGTTGGGAGGTCTGAAGTTACAGAACAAAACTTGTCAGAAAATTAAAAATTGCTACAGATTTCACTCTGCTCCATTCAGAGTGGCAAACTATGAATTTGCCTTTGCTATAATCAAATAATGCTTCATGTGTTATATTGGTAGAGGTGGGTTAAATATAAACTTTACAAAAAGAGCAAATAGCTTTGGACATTGAGAAAAACATTGAACTTAATTTTTTTAATGTTTGTTCAGTAATTAGAGACAGCCACTGACATGAATTTCTGAAATTCTAAAGTGAGAARGGGCCTATACAAATTTAATTTAAATAGGAAGGGTAAGTTAGGATCAAAATATGATTTTGAATTGTAGCTGATTCACATGGTGACTCTATGTTTCTGTACTAAGGGTGAAAGTGTATTCAAATAAAGATTTTACCAAGCTGTACAAAATCCGCATGTAAAGGCAAGGGTTTTAGTCAAGCTTAATGGATGAAAGAGAAGAACTTGAATGTCTTGTTAAAGAAAATCTTTTCTTTCTTCTTATTTTAGAACTGCAAGTTAAGATACTGATCTGAAATATGGATGAGCTATACTTGAGGCGTGATTATTTCTTTTAATCATTAGTGTAAAATGCTTAAAATTCAGGGGATCAGTCTTAATAGCTGGAAAGGGTAAAGAAAAAGGTGGAATTGTGAAAACGCCCAAGTGTTTTATTCCTCTGAAAATATTTTTAAGTCACAGTTGTTTACAGGTTTCTTTCTTTTGTTCTGGAAATGAGTATTTGTGGTTGGTTTGAGCTTTTTTTTGTTTTTCCTAGTGAAATGAAAACATGTATAGAAGCAAGAAACAAAAGTAGTTGAAAAATTAGCAAAGTGAAGAAAAATGTATTGTCTGAATTGTAGTGCTGAAGAAGTAATGACTATGTTCTTCAGCCTCCACATTTTATGGCATTTCTCGCTTCATATTCTCTGAACAATAGAGTCGAAATTCATAAAATAAAATCAGTGTAGAGCTGTAGAACTATATAGTTCTTTAAATGAGTTTTTCTGGATTTTTTTTATGCTCTTTTGTTTTTTAAGATACCCAGATTTGCCTCCTTTTTGGGGCATGCTTATTTTGTTTGACTGTGCATGTAGTGGAGAGAGAGCAAAGGAGAAAGGATTGGAAGACCAGTTTAAAATGCATGTGTATTTATGATGTGTAAGAGATTGGGAGAGCTGTTGGGAATTTGCATCTTGTCTTGTTATATTGGATAATTAGACTTGCATTTGAAGTTATTTGCTAATTGAAATTTCAAGAGCTATTAAGACTGCCACTTGAGATTTGTCTTTTAATATTCTGCTTTCAAGAGCAGAATAAATACAGTATGATAAATGGGATATTGATGGGTTCTAGTCCAAAATGCTTATTCTTCTGTTTTGCAAACACTTGGATTTGTTTTCACTGATTGGGAAAATTTTGCAGACTCATTCTTAATTATAATAAATATAAATCAATACTTTGAGCATGCCRTAATTTAAAAGAAGTCATTAGAAGTATTTTTTTTGTCTGTCTTATCTGTAATGTGTCTGAATATAAACTTGTGTGCATGCTATCAAAATGATTGCAGAAAGGTAAGTCATAACCCCTGTGGCACAGTGATAGCATGCTAAACATCTTCTTCTGTGGGTACAGCTACAAGATAATCGAACATGGGCTGGAAGGAAAGTTGCCTGCCTGCATGTGCTCTCTGTTTTCTTTGCACTTCCACAAGTGCTGGTATAATTCTGTCATTCCCTGAAATACAGAAACTCACACTGTTTCCTGTACACTTTCTCCCTAAAATAGTTCATAGTGGGATTAAATAAATTCTAGACCTGGCTAGATTGAATAAGTGAGGGTTAAGACAACAGTTTGTTGGCAGTTGATTGTTAATTTGTGTCAGCTGTAATGTAAGGAGCTTCTTTAGGTCCAGAACATTACTAGTATTCTCTGCCCTTTTTTTTTTTTTTTTTTTTTTTTGGTCCTGTTGAGTCTTAGTGATTTTTTTTAAGATTGTCTGCTTTATTGCTCAGTTTAAGGCTCTATATGCCACCTTTATTTGTGTAGGCAATTGACTATGGAGAGAAAACACTAGCACTAGCAGTGCAGGGTTAGCAAAAGTGTGGCTTTCAACATCAGGGCTATAGCTGTACTCTTCTCCTTTTAAATTTTTATTTGTACAACTCTAGTTCATTAAAAGAAGATAAATTGAAAACCTTACACTCATGCTATTTTATCAATGCAATTTTGAATGAAAAAAGGACACCAATTAGATGTTGTAGTAGCATAGGCATTTGAATTGTAGTTACATGATAATTAGTATTTGAATTTTTCAGTATGAAAGAGTGAATATATTGCTTTACATGTGTGATTCTGCAGTATCAGTTACCACCTACATTTGTAATTAGATTATATCATATTTTCAGGAAATACTACTTGTCATTAAAATAGATTAAATTTGACCTAATGTTTATCTTGTCATTTCTTTAAGGGCCTATTGAATTTGAAGAATGTAACACATCCAGTGTTTCTGAAGGTGAGTTACCATAGCATAGTTATTTACAGGCGAATGCTGTGGTTGAGGATCTGAACTGTGAAGCAAAGGGTACTCAGTGTGTGAATCTGTATAACTTTGAAGTGCTCCAGTAGACATAAATGCAGTTTTCCTTTTGAGAAACAAACTTCAGTGACAATAAGCAAAACTTTTATGAGACTAATGCATAAAGGTCAGCGAATTTGAGTGTATGTTATAAATGTTCTTTGACTAAGGCTTTGTCTTTGCAGAGGTTTGGATTTGATTCWCTTATGTATGTGTTGTAGCTTAATTTACAAGTGTCAAAACACGGCCCAGGCTCTTCTCATTGTTCCCRTGTCTTTTAAGCCAAGCCTAATGTAGTGTTATGGTTGCAAAGTCTTTCTGTATTGGCACAGCCTATTTTGCTTAGGGGAATGTTTTAAGTGTTTAAGAATTGCTTTCTGTCCATAAGCTATGTATTTACTTGTGGGACAGAGGAGTTGACAGTATAGCATCCAAAAACTTTCAAGTTGCCAAGATTGCTGCTGAGACTTAAAATCTCTTTTGACTGAAATAGAGATGATCCATGTTCAGAAATTACTCTCATACTCCACTTGCCATTGTTTTGGGGTTCACAAGGCACAGAAAGAAAACAAAGGCCAGACATTTAAAAATAACCTTGGAGCAAATTATGTGCCTCAGTATATATGACTGACTGTACAGTTACCTGATTTAAGAAGTTTGGAGTTACTGGAAATTTCTAGGAGTGGTGAGTTTCCTTATGTGCTATGTAATGTATTTTTATGAAGGTAAATATAGTAAAGTGCTTTAATTGACAGTGGTTTTATTTTGGAAACCAAATTATTTCTACCATTCTGCTCAAAAGCACGCTTTCAGTAGTATCATGCATCAAAACAAAATTGTAGAGTAGTTGGATCAGATGCTTGCACTTAGTCATTTAGTTTGGCAGTCTGCTTTGCCTCAGCAAACATTGTGAAGAAGCAGATGTGGCAGAAAGTCTGAGGGAATATTTGGGTGTATTTTAATTTCAGTACATTAAACAGTTATGAAAGCAAACTTATTTCAGTACTGTAGCTATATTTGTATAGTTCTAAAAGCAGGAAAGAAACAAAAGCGGGGGAAACATAATACTGAATTCAGTGAGAGCCAGTCTTGGATCTGACTACAGCACTGGAAAGTCATGAAGTCACATCATCTGGAAATCTAGGACACCATATTAGTTTTAAAAGGACCAAGATCCTGTTTTTGAGGAAAGACACGAGTTTGCAGCTGCTGGGAACATGCAGGGAAAAATACAGGGTGTTGAACTGCAGTAGCTGGGGAAAGCAACATTCAGTTTTTCATCCAAGTATATTGGCTATTCAGGATCACCTGGAGCAGTAGGTCTTGTTGAGTTTTTGTGAGCAGAGTCCTGTTCATCAAAACTGTCTATTAATAAAACACAGTCTGTATACACAATTTGGAGATGCAGATCAATTTTATAAGGATTTTGTTAGTGATGTATTGAACTGTATGTTGATTTTTTTTTAATTGATATGTTACTTAAAACAGATTGGAATAATGTTCCCTTAGTTTGGCTCCATACCTCTTTCCACTGCATACCTGTGGCAGCATTTAAAACATTGGCRTTCATATGCATCTGTGTTTGACGTTGCTAAATATGCATTTATCTCTTTGAKCTGTAAGTGAAAAGTGTTTGTTCCATAGGAATAAAACCACGGAAAAGGAAGCCTTTTGGTTTATCAGGAATAATGAAAAAAGAAAAAGATACTGAATCTGTGTAAGTATATATCCATGCTGGAACCTTGTCTTGCATGAAAACCAGTAATGAGGATGAAAATGAGCTGATATTTAAACAAAGAAAAGGGTTTATAACAGTAGTTAAAAGGAATTACATGAATACAAAAACATCAAAGTTATTTACAATTTTTAAACATCACAGTTATTTTCAGCTTTTGTAACCAAGGATTTTAACGAAAGTATCAAAAAATAACATAAGTGTATCCATAGTAGTCTACTTATCTTTCATTCTTTCCTGTGCATAGGTAAGTAGTTTTCCATTCTTCTACATCTGAGCAGTCTGTRTAATGTAATACATGTTTATCCTAGTAAAACAATACGTCTGTACATGGTAAAAGWACTGAATGCCTGTGTTTGCAGAATTGAAGCTTCAGTTATTCTTCTGTTAGAACAACATCTATATATACTGTCAAAGGACAGAAAAATCTTCAAAAAAAATCTTCAAATGTTTATGCAGTACATCATGAACACATTCCCATCTCACCAACACCATCATTCTAGCTCAGGACTGATGTCCTAAACATACCCTTTGCCATTATTCTTTTCATGTGCTCAGTCTCCCAGGAGTTACGTCTCTCCAAAAAGTGAGTTTGAGTAACAGTTCTGAGGTGCCTGTATTTTAGTGTATTTTTTTCCTAATTTCTACATGTGTTTTCTCAAGAAATTAGCTTACAATCTGACAAATTTAGGAGCATAAAAATATTCCCAGAAGCAATATCTGCATACCTACTTTTTAAAATTACTTTTTAAAGTATTTTACCAGCCTTGGACTTTTTACCGTGTTGAAAAATTCATGACCTAAGAACTGTAGGTGCTGATAGTGTTTTGTTTCTGTATTTRCACATGCCACAAAAATGACTAAATTCTGAGGGCAGAATGAAAAAAGTACAATGGCATAATATCGAACTACTATGTAATATGTGCCACAGAATTTTACAGGGATYCCTGCCTTAAACCATTACTTCTATATTAACTAGAACATCACAAAGAAATAGAGAATTCATTATGCGTTWACATAAAATATTCTAATACTTATTCTATGAACTTTTTAGTGATACAAAATTCTAGTCTACATTTTGTCTGATTTAATCTTCAGCTGATGATCTTGTTACAGACTGGAAATTTTAAGATTATGTCATCAGAAACTTTGCACAGAGATGTCAAATCATCTCTTGGTCTCTTGTTTTATTAGTCTGCAGTGTTGTTTAGTTTGTGTAGGGCAGGCTTTCCACATTTAGAAAACTCTCATGGTTAGTAGGCTTTTCAGTTTTGTCCAGATAGTTTCTAAACTGCTTATGCCCGTGGTGTGTCTAGTAATGGTTTTAATTCMGAGAAATACCATGCATGGTGCATTCTATATTGCTGTAGTTTAGCCAAGGATTTCACTGGTTGTTTGGATTCAAGGATTTCATTTGTTTCGTTTGGATTCAAGGTTTCAGTTTCTAGCTACAATCCTTAAATTCCCTTATAAAATTTCAATTTTCTGAAATACTAACTTATCCTAGAAGTATGAGTTCTAGTAGTTCCAAGTCTTTAGTTTTAAGAGAATATTCCTAAATCCTAGTGATTTAAAAGTACTTTTGCCTACAGCATGAAATCCTCATTTTTCCACCTCACCAATAGTTACAAACTGTTACATTTTCTTTGACTCTATGGAATAGATCCTGAGAGATGCTGTTGTTGCTCCTCTAAATGATACTAGAGCTGCTGTTTTGTTTGAGATCTGTTAGCTCACTGATTTTGAAAACCTTCATTGTGGGTTGAATTGCATTCATTCATTCATTTGCTTCATATTACACATTTCTCAACTTTTATGGACTTCAGGCTCTCCTGTTTGCATACAGACACTTTTTGAAATGACTTCTCTCAAGCAAGGTCTTACACTTTGTCTCTTCAAGCAGTAAAATACCTTTCAAAATAGWTCTATTGCTATGAAAGATGTAAAAGAACTAGAAATTGGGTGACATATGTCTTCTTTTGTGTGAGGCCTTTCAGAGGAGATGGAATCCTTCATCTCACTGTCATTTCCTTAACAGGCTGTACTGATTTTCATATTAGTGCTTCCTTATTAGCAAGTCTTTTGTACCTGTTTTTAAGGCACTGTAGTAAAACCTACATTTTTTACCTTAAACCCATTTGGCTTTCCAGAGAAGATACTTTAGGTTGCAATAAACTTGATTTTTTCCACCTTCTTCTTTTTTCTGTAGATGCATGTTTAGAGTGTTTAGATTAATGATATAAAAACACTGTTGTTCATTTGCACCATCACTTTATTTGTCAGAGTACAAATTGGAGAGGRTTTTTATGCCACTCAAGTATTCCCACATTCTGTAAATGTAATTGCTTCTGCTTTTTGAAGACACCAGAGAGAATCAATGTCATTCATTATTTTAAGCACTACTGCTCAAAGTTGTAGTGCAAAAGTTTAACACTTCTGAATAATGTGCTTGCAATCACTGCSTTTCTGCAGACAACTTTTTTATATTTTGTTAAGTGCTTATTAGGAGGGTATTAGGGTCAGTTATCTTGTTCAGCATCTTCTGGTACTTGACTGCAGCTGTGCTTGACACACATGAAACAAGAATGAAACTCTAAAAACGTTCCCTAAAGATAATCCTAATTTCTTTGAAAATTGTTTTTCAAAGATAATCCTAATTTCTTTGAAAATTGTTTTTYGACTGAAATGCTTGCAATTGCATGTGGACTATTTAATTAGGATTGGTGACTTCTACTTACACAACCACACATCAACCACTAAGACCTGAATCTTCAAATATATTCACTCAGAATACAGTGTGGTAGTCCTCACTTTCCTTTATTTTTTGTTATTAACTTTTATATTAATATGAAAGAATTAGTATTTAATTCTTTTAACTAACACGTGAGATTGATTTTTCATTATTTCCTTTGAGCTTTTCTTCTGCAGTGTTTTAAACATAAACAGTCAGCTTCTATTTAARTCTCATTAAATTAAACGTGGATTATTTAAAGTAACGATTTAAGAGTCTGAGAGGCAAAATGGTCAAGTGCATTGTTTCAAATTAATTGAAAATATTTAAGGAAAAATTGTATTGATAAAATGATTTGTGCATTTCATAATTGCGAATTTTCTTTTTTTTTTATTAGGGAGTGTCCAGATGCAGACTCAGTTGTAAGTAGATTTATTTCCAAAATAAATGCATATGCTAATACTATCAAGCCCTACAATCTGCTGAAACTTATGTACAGTTCCTGCAATATATGATTTATCTGGTAGAGGATTTAGTATTATAGCATACTTGAAGTGTTAATTTTGTTCAGTACATGATCTTCAGCAGTATATACAAACAAGTGTCAGTAAAATGTTTTTGCTTTGTAACAMATTTAGATTTTAAGTAAGGTTTTTTTATTTCAAGTATATGTTACTTTATTTTTCATTTAATAGTTTAACTTCCTTGGCTAATAGATTCTAAGTCAGAAAAAGCTTTACTTTATTGTGGACAACTTTGTATTGTCATATTGTTCTGCWTACTACTGTTTCTTTTGGGAAATCTTTCTAATATGGATGGGATTCTGCTTTACCACTGCAATAGGACGTAGCAATATGCTTTATAAAATATGGCTTTAAATGCACTGTTTCTAGATGTACTTTATTAATGGTGAGGTTTTCATTACTGTTAGTTAGATCTGTGATATGTCTTAAAATAGTTTCAAGTTTATTCTGGTGACCATTGCAGATTAAATTGGTATGTTAATGATTTTTTTATTTCCTTATTTTAGTCTTTTCTTTTTGTACAAACGTATATTTTCTTGGATTAATATATAACAAGGATTGTTATATATTACTATATTATATATCCCTATAGCTRTATTAGGGAAAAATTTACAGAGTAAGTGATTTTCTGTAGACTAAATTGTTTTTAGTTCATTTATTTAGATGCCAATTTTATTGCAGTATGTAAGTTTTCAAGCTCACTTATTTTGTGGATTTTCTTATTTTTATTTGGCAACTGGGATGTTTTAGTACCTAATATTAAAACTTGTATGGRCAAACTTGATTTGAAACATCTAGTAGAACCATTTTTCTAAATGGGGAAAAGTGAGTGTTACCACATAATAGAACTATATGTATAAGAACAGATGTGTAATGCATGCCAAGAGACTTATTCTATACTGTGCAGTGATCTTGACTTACAGCAAATTTCTTTACTTGGCTACATTTAAAAGAAAGTTACTGTAGAATTATCATAATTTTCATGGAAGTAAAGTCATTTGACATTCAGGTTGTGTCACTGGAGTGAACAGCGACTGGATATGACTTTTAATGTTAATTTTCTTTGCTTATTTTGGTCTCCATGTTTTTTGAAAATAATTAGTTGAAAAATTTCAACTATAAATTGGTTTGACATTCTTTCTGGCAGTGTGATGCACACCATATGATCATCTAGTTTAATTGTTGATATTTTAATTGTTGTATTTTTTTACCTACTCAACATTTTGTGGCTTCATTTGGAATTTAAAATTTGGTCTATGATTTCTTCTTGCTTTTTACAAAGAACAGTAGTATTCTGTATAGTGATAGAATGCTTTAATAGCAGAAGTCGTTACTGTAATTCCAGTGAAAAAAATGATGAGACATACCATGTATGAGATTCATTTTGTCCCTCACAAGCAAGCAATCCAGAGTTCTTTTATATGTTAAGCTTGGAGTCCTTTTCTGAAAGGTCTCATTTCAAATGTTTTTCATTTTTCTTAAMTTTTGCTTTTAGTTTGCCTTTCTGTTTAATTTTTCAAATCTGATCTAAATAGTTTTAAGTTGTCTGTATTATCTGTAGGGGGATTTGTTTTGTATGGATCTTTGCAGTAAATTACACATTTCAGAAATTGAACTTCGGAAACTATTAATAAACAAACAAAAAAAAAGCAATTGTAATTTGTGTTTAATAGCTAGGTAATACTGATGAACAGACTTTCAGAAAATTCAACTCAAGATGTCTCAGTTATTATTKTAGTCCATTTCGATCTTTCCTAGAAAACATGTCCGGCACATATATGATTAACATGACCAYTTTTTTTTAGAAGTGGCTTTTGTTAATTTGTCAAGAATTTTAATGGTGTKAAAGAAATGTAAGAGATAAGCGTTATACAATTAGATATAAATATAAGCACCAAGGTAAAAAGATCAAAAATTTTCAAGTTAAGGATCTTGTAAGGACTGACTTCTATACATTATCTACCTGTTCTACATGCTACTGTGGATCTTTGAACATACTATGTAGTCAATAACATGAAGACTTTCTCRCTAGTCCAAAATGTTTAATGCAGTGTATCAAACTTGTATTCTCAAAACAATTAGAAGGTCCTAAAAAATGTCTTTTATCCCAAAATGGAAATTCTCAGATTTATCTGTGATAAACCAGATCTGCTTATGCCATCCTTTTTGTMGCTGCCAGATTTTATATACTGGAAAATAAATTCATAAAATTTAATTCCTGTAAGTATTTTTTGTAACTGCTGTAAGAGGTTTTTGTGTGCTTATGAGTAGGCAGCTGTGGACTGAGAACTGGTATTTGTTAAAAAGGTTGACTACTTCAATCAGCATTCTCTGTTTAAGTAGAGGTGACAGTATTGCATGAGATTCAAAATTGATTGTTTTTTTATATGTCAGTATATATGTTACTTCCATTAAGGTAAACCTTGAGAAATAAGAATGTTTGTAGTAGACAGTGTCTACCCTGGAAAGGGATAGTAGCTGAAGGCTGACGCTCTATGGGGGTTTTGCCTTAGAAAGTTTTTCTAAAGGCTGAACTAATTGTCTTGTTTCCCATGAGTTTGCCACGTCTCTAGGACGGTCTCTAGGAAGACAGGAGGTCTAAAAGAAACTTCTTTTTGGGGGGGAAATCATTTACAAGGTTCCACTTGTGTGTAGTGAAATCTGAATTAGGATTGCAACCCTGTCCTTGGCTGAAATGCTTGCTGATCTCCTTCTTCTACTTGACTGCCTATTTTCATGAAGACTGTAGTAATGTAATTATCTTTGAGTTCTCTATTCTRTCTGTCAAATCCATTTGAAATTGTCTAGTAAGTTCAAAAAGTAATTAAGAAGAGAGTCACAGATGTACAGAACATAATGCTGGAAGGTTTTTTTTCATTGGAAACTGAAATGCAAACACATATCAAGGCATCCAAAACTTTTCATTAACGTCTTTACATGTGAGWGTAGCTTAATTATGGTTGTATAGAATTATAGACCATTTTTATTGATGGAGACTGGTTGAATTTGGAACCACCAAATTCTTAGAAATGGAGCACAAGTGTAACCTTTTATCTAGTGAAATTCAAATATTTTTCACGATTTGCTTTTTACGGCATTTAGTTCTGGAATATTTTCTATAGCTGCTATTGACACTGAAGACAAGGCTTTCTAGTCATGGCAGAAGACGGGTACTTTGAATACCCATTTTTCTTTCTTTCTGCATTTCTAACAATGGGAGAAACTGACTGTCTCCTCTCTTCTTCTGTGTCTTTTGGGTTAATAGGCACCCTAAGGAGAGGAGGCCAATAATATGCTTCTGTATTAACCTAAGGATATACCAGAGTCAAATTTACATCTCAAATATGTCAAAAGTGGAGAGGTTTTTTGTTCTCTTGTTCCATCCTATGAGCTTCAGCTGCTTACTTAGAGTCCTCATCTGGATTACAGAAAGTCAGTTGAGTTCTGGCAGAAAAAAATAGAGTGAGCCGTTCAGCTGCTCTGTTCTGCATCTTGAAGCATGCCCTCAGGAAAACTTGATAAGGAACTCTGATAACTGTAGTTATCCCGGGAGATGAGAAAATACAGTGAAATCGAACTGGAGCATGGTGAAGGTTCTTTCCTTCTCAACTGATGMCCAGCCTGTCAGCAGCACTAGTGTTTAGGGAGGAAGGACCAAACGGAGTAGCTAGACTGCACTGTGCTCCATATGTTCCTCCCTTATCCTTTGTGTGTAGCCCTTAGACATTAATGACATGGTAATGATGTAGCTTCTTCCATGGCTTTTGGATGACAGATGGGATAGAGCAAGGAAACTGAAATAAATTATTTACGAAAACTCAAAAAATATTTAATATTTTTTTTTTTCACTAGAATACTTGGTCCTCAAGCTTTTTATGTAGGCAATTTTATTTTATTAAGGCCTTATGATTTCTTTGAAAAATCATTCACATCTGAAAGCTTGTAGAATACACTAAGGCAAAGGCAGTTATAAGACCCAAGTTTCTGGTGTATGTTTAAAGCTATGTAAGACCCGAGTTAATATGTTGTATTACATCTGCAAACAGGGAAAACTGTGGCTTTTACATCTACATTTAACTGCTTAACAGAATCTCAGAAAAGCTTCCTGGAAGTCCACCTTTCCAGTTACTTCTGCAGAGTTCAATTCACATGTAAAATGAGTTTGGGAGTTTTTTGACTGAAAAGATCACTACACACGTTTGTGTAGGGGGCTAAACCAGACCTTCATCCCTATGATATTAATAACAACTCTTCCCAAAGGTCAAAGTTTGCAAAGATCACCATCWTGTGTGTCGAAGTTCAGCAATTATACATATATACATGTAGGTGGTAAACTTAACCTCTGATCAGCAGATAAAATCTGCTTGGTATTCTGTGCCTGATACTTAAGACGCATGTTATCCCTGACATAATATATAGTTCCTTAACTGCAGGAGTGTGGAGAAGGTAGTAAAAACTAGTCAAATAGATGTAAATCCTTCATTAACATCAGATTCATGGGTACTGGTCTCTGTCAAGTTTTGTGTTATCTACCAGTGTTATTAAATGTAGATTTGCAAATAAAATGTTGATATTTCAGAAAGCAGAACATTAATTGGATCAACCTTTCAAAATATTGAGAAGAATATTTTGAAAATATTACTTTTAAGGTTGTGAGGTAGCATTTTGCTTGTATGTGACAAAATTTGCCTTTTCTATGCAAAAGTATATCAGGTATCTCTTCCACCCATTTCTTATGTTGATTTACACAAAAATAAAAATTTAGTATCTCATTAATTAAAGCAGGTGGTAAAATGATAATAAATTGGCACAAGATTGATCTGAATTATTGACAAGGTTGGAAATACAAAGCAAATGATTTATGACTATATGCTGTGTAGAGTCAGATGTTTAAAAATACATATATTTACATTTTAGATACAGAAAAAGATATAGAAGTTAATTTTTTCTATACAGGGTTAGAAAAAAAAGTGGYAACATAGACCAGCTGAAAAAGGACACAACTTATACTGTAAAATATCCATCTCTGTTATGTAAATGAAGCTGTGAAAACAGACTGCATGATAAAGGGCTGTTTCTATAGAAGAGGAGATGATTCMAGTAAGACCAAAAATAATTATCATGAAAGTGTTAAGAAAGAAAGTTAAATACTCTATAAGACTTTAGTGCTTTCTAAGGACTTACTTCATCCTAGAGATTATTCAGTAAATTAGAAATAATGCAATGGRAATAACTTCTACAAATGAAATTGACTCACAATTTTATATTAAAATAATCAGTTTTGCCAGCTATGTTGTGCATGTTTTGTCAGCTCAGTAATAATATTCTTTACATATGTGGTCCAGCTGTAAGAAAAACTAAATATTGTATGTTAAAAGATTTTTATTGATTTTCAATTCATCTTAAACATGAATGATCCTGATCTATGGAAAATTACCTAGTCTGACAACTAAAATAATTTCAGAATTCAAAATTTGCAGTATTACAAGAAATATACCTACCCTGTAGCTATATGTTTTTGTTCTGTTTACTTTGATGTCAATTTTCATTAGTGATTTTTGGTATATAAACAAGATAAGCCTGAGGTCAAGCATAGCTAAGAAGCCTGATTTGAGCAAGTGGAGCTAAAGTATTGGACCATGTTATTGTACTCTTATTGGTTTTTTTTTTTGTTCTTATTTACTTATTAATCAAATAGCYGTGAAATCTACCTCTTACAAATATTCAAGAAATTGCATCTATATGTTCTGTATTTTAAGGTTAGATCTCAAATGTTTTTTTTTGGTATTAGTTTGATGATAGTATTTAATTTGGTGCAGTCTTACATTTGTACAGGACAGTTTTTCTTATACTTTATTTAGCAGAAAGTTCGAGCTATGTGTAAATTCCATTTAATTTAGAAGTGCTAGGTTTAGGGAGATGTACAGAGCAGAATCTTCCTTAGTAAATTTCAGACATCCTATTTGTGATACCTGTAAAAGAAACAGATGGATAACAACTCCATTTTAATGATTTTCATGTTTKTCTTCTGTAATTCAAAAGCTATTCAGAGATACTCTCTTTAAACTTGACTTCATATTTTAGCTGAAGTCATGAGGTTTCTTGGTTGTCCACTTGAAATCACCAGTGTAAGTCATTTTGTTATATCTCATGACTTCTAACAAATTATATTTTGGCCATAATGTGTATACATATCTGTTGGTGAAATTACCTCCCAGTACCTGTTTTCTGGTAATAAACTGATTCCTACACTAGAAACTGATAATTGATACASTATAAACTGATGGTAATAAACTGATTGCTACACTAGAATAAATCACATAAATTTAAATATAAAAAGACTYATACCAATAACTGCTGAAATCACTACATTTTGAAAGCACCTTGTAATGTACTTACTGAGACATTACACACTTCACAGACATATGCCTATGCATACAAAGGTTGTGAGTGGATTGATTCTCAGTGGGGAAAATATCTACATATCCATGTTTATCCTGTATATGTAATGCACAGGATGTGGGGTTTTGTGCATTTTTAAAATTTAGATTATCTTAGAGATTTGTTTTTCTCAGCTGTGAAGTTTTCTTAATGAAACTATATGCTTAGCTGAGCATTCTAAATTATTTTAACATTATTCTCATAATTTGTGTTTAATTGCCTGCAAGAAATAAAAAACAGAATTACTCTTAAATTCACAGATGCTTACTGGCTTTGAAGGTCGAGGATGGTGCTGATAATGTGTAAAGGAGAACTTTGGAACTAAATTTTGAGCACTTGTGATGTGGATATTTTTGTCTGAAGCAATGATGCAGGCATGCTGCCTTTTCTAGGGGGAGTAGAAGTTGCAACCTGTGCTTTAACTTGCATACTTAAATATTGACTAGTACTTGGGAAAGGTTTTGCATCTGCACTATCAGAACGTCTAGTGTCTTAGCTGAGAGCAGTAAAATTTGGGAAAATTTTCTGGGGCCAAGTGAATTGTAGCCTGATTTAACACTGTACTAAAGCTAAAATAATGTTATTTTTTAACCTTTTTCATAGAGTATTAGTAAAAGCAGATGCTTTTCAAACTTGCCAGTTTTCATAGGAAATTTAGAGCTTGCTTTGTTAAATTTTGTGCTGAGGTATCTTGTCMCACAACTTCTGAATTACAGATCATAACTTTGGGTAACTAACAATGTTGAATAAAAATAACTTCCATGAGTTGTTGTAAATTTAATTTGCCAATGATGTAAAATTGAGTCTGATATAAGAATTACATGGGGTTTTTTTAGTAATTTGTCAATAGCATAATTTTTGTTATTGTTTTTAGAACTTCCCTGATGTAGATGATGAAGGATACAGCATTAAACCAGAAGCAACACAGGATATCCTTTTTACTATTATTGTGCCAAAGTATTTGATGCTACTACAATTCTTTGGAGACAGGAAGTAYTTACTAAAGAGTTAAGGAAGCTGAATGACATTTATACATATGTTGCAACCTTGTGTTCTTACATTCATAGCTTTTGSAAAATAAACCAAGTGTTTTCTTAGATGTTGTGTGTGTGAAAGTGTTAAAGATTAGATTAAATCAGGTCTCATGGGAACTTTGAAAGGATAATGAAAAATAAAAAGGAAAAAACAAGCCAGAATAAAAAACTTTCATGCAGATCTCCTTGAAAAGCTCTCCAAGATTTTATAAAGTAAAGTTTTTTAAGTGTATGGAGTGGTTGTCTGTTCTTTACCTTCACCCTCCCTTTTTTTTGGTAGCATGATTAAGATGATTGGGAGCTCCAGCAGTGCWGAAATAGAATTTCTGTTACTTAATGAAGTCATTAACCACATGTTGTTTCCAATCAGTGCTTTTAGCTTACTATGCTTTTAATAATAGCTTTCATATATGGAATAGGTTTTGATATGAGTCACCTTTGTGCAGGCTCAGTATTTTTCTCTGCTGTTCCACTGTATCTTTGGAGGAAAATTCTTGTCCACTTTTTTCCCTAGCATCAGAGAAAGCTGTGCTAAAGAGCTGAGAATAATTACCATAGATCTAAGCAAGCATAGTATAATAGTAAGATAGCCAAYTTTTGGAAATGTATTCACTGAATTTTCTGGATATGGCAGATAAAAGGTGAACTTAGGCTGTGCAATTACCTTAAATTGCAAAAACTTCTATGCAATTAACAGTTCATTACAGTGGGCCAGTTCATCATCCATACTTCTTTGTTTTCATCAGSCTTGCAGAATATCACTCTAATGACCACATGGAAGAATCCAGTAGCAATAAAATCAGTTAGTGTTATCTGCTGTTTACAAAACCAATACAAGAATGACAAACTTTTATCCAGTTCTGGGAGCAGTATTATTTCATGCTTTCTATGTATTTCTGAAAGGGAGAGGCAAGGGAACAACATTCCTGCTTGTGCTGAATGATTCATCTGGATTTTCTCTTTTTGTTGTGAAATAAGAGAAAAGTCATACATTCAGTGAAAAATACCAGTTATTTGCCATCTGTCATGAGGCAGTACTTAAGCTTCTGAAAATCTTGACCAGCTTCAGGAACTTATCAGCTCCCTTCTTCTTTTTCCCCCTTAGCCTCTAGGTGTGGATATTTATGGTGTTGATGGGAACTTCCAAGATAATTGGTTGGAGGGCATTGTTTTATTATAATGACAATCAATAAGTCTGACTTAAATCTGTATTAACAAAGCACTTTACAAGAACCATGGATATTTCACTGATCTTTAAAGAACCTAGGCTTTTCTTCACTTTGTTTAAATTTCAACATTTTTCATACATCAGTTAGAATCCCTGGTGGAGTCTTGCAAATTATAATTTTAACATGCAGATGTGTTGCTACTTTGGAATGTTAACCTCATGCCTTCAAATATGCAGTTGTTCAGCTATATGACAGCTACTGCCATTTTTCAGTTATATGACATGTTTTTTCTGAACATAGTCATCATTATGAAGATAAATGGAATAAACCCCTACTTTTTAATTCTGAGTTGTGGATTTTGGACTGTGGATGTATGTGAAGCATCTGTGTAAGAACACAAAGAGGTCACTTAAAATGAGTATTTTATGGAGTATAATTATGAAGTAGATTGAACAGATGAATTTGAGGTATTTCTACCTTAACTGAGAAAAACATACCAAAGAGAACCATTTCTATTCATCCAGTGATTCTGACTCTGAAGATGATGAACCCAGGAGGTTCCATGTGGAAATAAAACCTGTCCAGCCAAATAACAGCTCTCAATACACTATGCCTTCTTTGGATGAATTAAAAGTATCTATAGGGAACATCACTCTTTCTCCAGCAAYATCTGTAAGTTTTGTTCCTTGTGTTTTGGGTTGGTTTTTTTTGTTGTTGCTTTGGGGTGTTTTTCTCCTTTTTAAAATTTTATATCCACACATATACACACGTTTTTAATGTGTAGAAATTGCTAAAGCATCTGTAGTTTAAACATACAGTGTTCAGAGTTTGTTTCAGGTTCAGTGATTCTTCTTCTTGTGCATTAGGTCATTTTTGATACACTTTATATTGCAATATATTTATATTGCACTTTCATATTGCAATATAACATTAAGTACTTTTCTCATATTTAAACTTTCCTAAAAGACTTTTGAGTGCTAATTTCTTGTCTTTGTGCTGTTGCCACCACAAGACATTCAGTTACATCTTAGACTTAGCTTAGACTTGGCTTTTAACATAATTTTCTGATTTGTTTTTAATAACATACATGTCTCTTGAAACAGGTCATATAATCAGGATACATGTAACATTTGTAATGCAGCTTTATTGATGTATCCTGCTAATTCACAAAATAATCCTTTATATCATGAGACGATAAATAATATTAAGGTATGCTAGTACAATATTCAGATCAGATCAGAGYAAGACTGGTTCTGATTTTAAGGGAAATAGTGCACATAACAGATTAAAATAATAATTTTTCTCTTTTTTTCCTTACCACATTTTGAAAGCAGAGACACAGTCCTGTAAGTAGAGAATGGCTTTTTATTCACATTTTTAATTAAAACCAAGTAAGTGTAGTATGTGAGGGGAGTTGTTGGGATGACATGAGGAATATTTCTTTTAATATATACCATGTGATACATATCTAAGCTGTTTAATTTCATTGCCTCAGCMAGTAAAGAGATTTACAAATGCTGATCCCTTTGTCAGCTTTACAACTCTAAACACAGTATTTATTTCTGTGTTTTCAAACTGGTGTGGCAGATGTGCTCTGGTTGCTCTGTCCAGGCTCATGTTCTGTGGTCTTTGGCAAGCTCATAATGTTTTGCTTGGCTTTGAAAGCAAAATATCTCATAGGAATTTAAGTGGAAATAAGGGCATTGGGACTATTAAATACTGCTTTATTTGACAGTAGAAGAATTTATTCCTTATCTTTTCTTTCCTATTTTAGGCACAAATGAATCAAAATTCATCCAGTAAGTGTGAATCTTATAATGTTGGTTTTTCAACATAGAATGAAAATTAATTTCTTTTTAATTGTCAGAGATAAAAACTTATTTAATATCTGCATTTTAAATGGAACAAAATGTTTTTCCTGTCAGTTTTATATTCCTCCTCCTTATCTATAAACTTGGCTATTCCCCATTGTGGGGACCAGATGAACCTGTCTCTGAGGAACACACCTAGATACCAAAGGGGTTACCCCATGGGAAAAACTCCTATGCAAGCTCCTGAAACCCTTCCACCCATTCAAATTTATATGATCCACAAACTGGTAAAGCACACGGTGTGTATGATATAAAATATACATGTACAGATAGTGGATAATGRACAGAGCATTAGCTTCTATCCTGTAGAGGTTTTTTTCAATGGGAAACCAGGCCAGATTTGCTCAAGAACAGTATTGATGTAAGCAATATAATTCAAGAAAACAAATTCTGATAAACAACACTTCTTGAAATGCATTGCTCTCTSTCATCTTCTCGTATTTCAGGAATATCTGAAGGTAAATTATCAGAAATAATACATTTTCATTAATTTCTATTTTAATAATAGTTTGAATGGCCAGCATTAATATTAACTCTCCTTTTATAATGAAAATGAAGTTTTTATTTTGTATTTCACACTTAGTGATAATACTGTTGTTTTCTTAGGTGAAGAGTTAACAAAATCAAAACTCTCTGCTGCAACTAATGAGTAAGTTCAAAGTTAAAATTCTATCAAATGCAGTTTTGCAGGAATTTATTCTTATTTTTCTAATACTCAGAAACTCATTGGAAATGACAGCTGAGTCCTATTTTAAGTTGTACCTCTACTGCATTATAAGACTAAGTGTATCAATGCATACATTCATTGTCCCTTCTAATACATTTGCTTTATTGTGATCTGTCTCAGTTGAGTTTTATAATTACATGSCCACACAATGTTTTAAATAAGACAAATTTTGTTTCTGTCTAAGAGTATTCCATTCTACAGTGTTTAAGTTTGCAGACCTCAAATTTACACAGATCTGCGTACATTGTTTGTGTGTATGTACACTAAACCAAATGAATTTGAAGATGTAGGTCTCTAAAATTATGATCATTTAACTGACATTATGAAGTATGCCCACGTACGAATTTGCACGAAGGCATTTTCTGAGGCAGTCTTCTTAAGTGTAAATCAGTTCTTTGATCTGCATCTTTTAACTGATTATTTTCTTTTTAGATGCCAAGACTAGTCTAGACTAATTTGTCAAAGGCTTATATAATTTTACTGAGTAACTTACTCACATTTACTTACGCGCATCCGCGGTAGCCCCTTGCCCTTGCCAAAGGGTCCTGTAGTGATGGGTCTAGGAGGAGTGGCTTTAAACTAAAAGTCATCTTAGATAGACATATGAAAGAAATTCTTTACTGTGGGGGTGGTGAGACATGGAAACAGGCCGTCCAAGATGCRYAAGTGTTCAACACCAGRCTGGAAGGGGTTTTGAGCAATCTGGTCTAGTGGATGTCAACATAGTTAAACCAGGATTTTTAAAAATCCTTTTGAAGCCAATCTATTCTGTGATTATTATAATTATTACATGGTCAAACTACTGCTGAAGTTTAGTTTGATTTTATGAATTAATTAATCTTCCATTTTTATTCCAATTGTAACTCTTAATACAGAAAGGGGAACAGTGACTTCCTGGCATGGGATCCACTCTTCACCACTTCTCTTGATTCTTCCTCTTCAGCTTCCTTGGCATCCTCATCCTCCTCAGGTAAAATATTTGATGGTAGAAAACGTTTTCTCTATATACTTTGCAATGTTCTGGTATTGTTTTTTCAGTTCTTGCAAGAGGATGTGSTTTGACACATAAATGAAAGAATTTTATGAAGTAGTATACTGTCTTGGAAGTATTACACAGCTGAGAATGCAGTGTTTTAGGCTTTCAAGCTAGAAAGGAAGAGGAAAGAGGGAGCACTAGACACCATAGGAAAATTTTATTTTGCTCCTGCATTTTTTATTCTCATACTTTCCAAAAAATTGTTCATCATCTAGAATGTAATCCTTTTTTTCAGCTGGTAAGGCTGGGAAATGAAATTGAGGTTGTTGCAACAAGTGTGAGACAAGCTGAACTTGCACAATGAATATGGATGAGTTTTTTCTTTCTAGGAAAGTCATTTGGGCTGTGTAGTATGAAGGCATTGCAGCACTTGGCTGTGAGGAACTTGTTTCCTTTAGGAAAGCATGATTCAGTTAGAAGATGTGAATCCAAGGGGAGATGGATAAAAATGGTAGGACTGAAACAAAAATTAAGCTGAGATCCTGAAGCAGGGATATTACAAGGAAAAGGATAGTGTGTGTAGTATGGGAGGTGGAGGGTGAGAGCATATGTTGCATAGRAATTTTGCGTTGCAGGATATTAGTGTCAGTAGGACACTGGCAGGCTTTCCTGAAACCTGGCCTTCGCAAAAAGTAGTTCTTGAGTTCTTTTTGGTCTACCTATTGTGTAGCTGTTCTCCAGCATCTTAATTTTCTCTTAATATAGGCACTTTTCTCCTTCCACATGCCTGAAAAAGGAAGTGTGTTCACTGATCTTTTTTTTAAATAAGTACTCATATCCAAAAATAGACCTCACTTCTTTGTTCATGTTATGGCTTTCTAGGAATTTTCTTCTGTGATTGATCATGCAGACTGAAGAACAATAAGGAAGATTACATATATCAATAGGAGAATTCTGAGAAACGGGTGTTATTTCTTGGCTTTAGTAATGTTCTTTCAGCCACAATCAGCATTGCTTTGTTACACTTCAGGTTTTAAGTAGAAGTTAGTCTTTCACTACAAATTTGTGTTCCTTAAAGGTTATGATTTTAACAAATCTGGCTTACAGAATTTATCAGAATTTTCTCATACTGATTTATTAATCAGGCAATAGTATTGGCTAGTGAATCCACATGTGTGTGGTAACACATTTAAGAATAAATTCAAGAGAGAGATAGATTACCGGAATGTTCTGAAAAGAAAAGGTGCTTCCTTAAAATACTCAGTTTTGATAGCTTTGGTCTGGTGTTAGAGTCTGCAGAAAAAGGCGGAGGGTACTTAACTTCTTGTGCTGGTAGTTGTTGTATTCGGTTGTTTATTGTTATACCTGGATGAGATGTGAAAGCAGGTTAGAAAATCTTCATGGAGTTCTTCTGGCAGCGAGCTGTAGAGAAAGCGTTCTCTAGTTGATGAATAATGATAGAGATCCACAGCACACTCTGTAACTGTATCACTCAGGGAGTCATCTACAGTACCCATGAGGCTTATACACAGAGCCCTGCAGTTAAGTGAAATTGAATACAAGGTCTTGTGGGCATAAATCAAATTTAGATACATCTGTGCCTTGGCAAACTTTATTTGATAAATAATTATTTCAAGGATTCTTGTTGTAGGAGTTAACAAAGATATTTACATTTGTGAAATAATCTGTGGAGTTAAATAAAAAGTGTTCTGAAGTATAAAAATTTTCTAATTCATTTGGGGGAAAAAGCAATTGGATCAATGTATGTCGTATTGTTGTTCAAAATGGGTTCTAATGCTTGCTAACTTGCAACTTAGTTCTAAAGGGTTTTTAAAATGCTTAACTGATCTGATTGTATTTTCCTTGAAATCCATCTTTTGTCTTCATCTTGAAGGTTAATAGTAAGCTGGTGCTTGAAGTTTTTTAAAATCTCAATCCTRAACTTGAATTATATACATTAGTTGTGTGGAGTACAGCATATGTACTTTACTGTTTAAACATTTCTTTAGCTATTTTATTTAGCTGTTATATAACTGTGTTAATCATTGAACACTTAAACTACCTTGGTATTTGAGCAGATAGTAGTTTATGCAGCACAGAAGTAATCTTTGGTCATCCATGAATAATTTTGCCTTATTAGAAATTGAAGCTAACTGTTATCTTGAACAAACACAACAGACATTTTTTAGCTAGCTCTTGATACTGTAAAAATGCATCTATTTAATTGTCTTCCTTATTTTCATCCATATATATTTTTAAAATAGTTCTTAACATTTCCACATTAAATAGGATTTATAGTAGTATTTTTAAGCCTTTTAATGATATTTAGAACACCTGCTAGAAAGCGAAAGCTGTGTTAAAACATGTAACATTTAGGTGGACTTAGACAATGGTTTTTTTAATGGCAAGAGGACCACTGTAGAGAGGACAACTGTACTTTTGATCTGAATTTTAAATGTGTTTCTCCCTTTTTTTGATTTTGGTTGTCATTGCTGTTGCTTGTAGCTCTGCCAGTCAGCAAGATGTTGAGAATTGACTAACMTTGCATTTTCTGCTTCTTTTGTCATCTAGAGCAACAGGCAACAGCAAGTGCAGGGAATACTTTTGGAAAACTCCTTTTTTCAGCAGTCTGAAGACTATAGGATGAGAAAGGAAAAAACCCTGAGGTGGATGATGCCTCATCTGTACTATTRCTCACTAGAAACAGATTGATGTAGACAGAACAAATATCAGACTGGATCTCGTGACTTCACTGTCTTAATTTATTCACCTGAAAGCCAATTCTGTWTGATCTTCCTGTTATAAATTTTAGGACTAAGAGGATCAAAGTGTTTGGAAGGAACAGGATAGGTTTGATTAAATAACTTTGAAGGAAATTAAAAGCAGAAAGCTGAGAGGAACCAGAAATGGAGTAGGATGCAAGAAGGAAAAGGCAAAGATGAGAGAAAATTAAATCATAACAGGTAGGAAATTAGAGGAATAAGGAAAGTTGTTGCTCTAAAAATAGAGCTTTAAGTGGAGAGATACACAATTAATTATTTTTCTGTGTACTAAAAAATGGAAAGCAACACAGTTGGCAATATGAAGGAAGTACATATGACCTGTGACTGGCTTTTTCTTTTATTTGTAAGTGGGGGGTGTGTTTAGTTAAGYAGAGCAGTTGTTTCTTATGCTGGCTAGTATTCGCTGTGCAGTGGATATTGAATACTTTTTTGAATATTGAAATTTTTATCTTTTCATTGTTGGTCCTAGTTTCAATTCTTCCATTTTCCTTCAGCTACCCTAACAGAGCACAATAGGAGTTCCTCCTCATCTACCACTGATTTGCCTGGTTGTAGAATATCTCAGTCTTTGCTTGGACACCAGACAGATTCTGGGTCTACAAGCCCATCTTCACCAGACTTTACCATTAGCACTTTGTGCAAATCTGGTGTCACAGCAGCGCCATCAGGGAGTACCAGTACTTTATCCTGTTTTTCACGGTCTCAGAGTCAGTGGATTTCCTTTGCTGATGAACTTCTTACARTTAGACACACAAGCACAGACAAGAAGGAGCCCCAAAGATTGCATTTTAAAACTGAAAATGCCTGCCTTGCCTCTTCCGCTTTGCTTGGGAATTCTTCCAACAGCTGTGCTTCTGAGGATCAAAGTGACCTTTTCAATAACTCTATATGTCATGAACAATTATTCATTGAAGAAACTGGCACTGCTGCTGAAGTATCTTCTGCATCATCTTCAGCACTACTGGACTATAGTTTAGTGTCTTCTTGTGCTCATACAAATAAGGGTATGCCAAGCATGCATTCTGTACTGCTCTTTGCTAATAACTGACTCCAAAAAGCAAGCTTTGGACTCATTTTTGTTTTTGTTATTATTGCACAACTGATGTTAAAATTAACTCACCCTCTTACTTAGAAAGTACTAAACTGCTTGTTAATACCAGTTGGGACAGTGAAGCAAATATTCAGCTTGAAATAAGAAAATTCAAGTAGTTCACTTAAAGGCATTGCTTCTGTTAACTATGCAGTGTTGCTTTTCTAGAAATGGGAATGTATTTTTGTGGGATGTCAAACAGCAATGAGATCTCAAAGATTAAGTAATTTGCAAAGACAATTCTTTTTACATACAAGTTTCCAAAAGTGGTTGGCAAAAAATCACTTGAGAGCAATGAGAAAGCCCATGATGCTGTTTTAAGAGTCACTTTTCAGGGTATCACATGGTACTATTTTAAAACAACTTATGATTTGTGGTAAATCTTAAAACAYGGCACTTGTAAAATAGGAATTTCTAGTAGAAAAATCACTTCCAGTTATTCTACCCAAGTGAATAAATATTTATGTTCAGTGTGATCTTTCTAATATTTATTTTCTTAAATTTGCTTTCTTTCAGTGAGGCCCACCACTCCTCTTTCTATGGGCACTATTGTACCCCCTCCAAGGCCTGCTTCAAGACCAAAGCTGTCTACTGGGAAACTTAGTGGGATTAATGAAATAGTACGTATTTTTTATTATTATGTTTTTTTAACTTGCCATTTTAACTTGATTTTAGAAACACCATTCACTTACACTGTTAAAGTGGAGTTACTTTCCACCCGGTGTTCAAGGAATCGCATAAGCAGATTTTCAACATTAACAGATAGGCATGGTAATAGGTTATGATAGCATTCTTACTTTAACAAGTAATTATTAACACAATTGCAAAGGCCCAAAATATAATTTCCACATTAYTAAGTTTTTTAATTGAGTAGCCAGAACTTGATAATGAAAGATGGTGCATGCATAAAATTGAAAAATTGAAGTTTTCAAAATGTGAAATACTAGTGAAGTTATTAACAAACCTCCCTTGATTTAGGGATATCACCAAAGCTGTGGGAAATTAGTGGTATTTATTCAGAATATGTTGACAGGAGTAGCCCTTTGGTGGCTTCTCTTTGTTTCGGAAAAGGGAGATAATAGCTCACAGCAGTTGCCCATCAGTGAGTAGTGAGAAGTTGTGCACTGCCTGCATCTGCCTGCCRTGCAGTTTCAGCTGCTGATAAGGAATGTGGTAAAGAATGCAAATACCCAAACAGCCTATCAGACCAGGCCATGCCTAATTTCYTCTGTAAATATTAGTATCTGCATGTTTCACTTGACTTACTGACTTGGAAAAATGTTGCTGTGGTAAAATCCTCTTAGTGTCCTTCAAAGTAGTAAGATGTTTTCGCCATGTTCTTCTTACGAAGAAAAATGATTCTCATCTTATGCTTTGGCAAAACTGACAGAACATTTTCAAACTGTTTTGCTTTTCTGTCGAATCAGAACAGAGTTAATTTTGAAATTCTTTTCTCTTTCCAATACAAAATTGTAGTAATTGCTCTTAGACCAAGAAACCTGTTCTGCATGTCATCATAATTAAAGAGAAGAATTTATCTGGTATTGTGTGATCCTGCACAAAGCTACATTCATTTGATATTGTTGCCTCAGAAATTGACTGTTATCTGGATATAAGTGCAAGGTTGTCAGTTGTCTTTGTTATATGTCAACTCCTTTTACAATTGCCGTAGTCTCTATCAAAGCCACGTACTCTGCAAAAAGTGCAGTAGAATTGGGAAAAAAGATTTACTGAGACATCCCACCCTTAGGGGAAAGGAAACACTCAAGATTCACAAATGCTACTAGTCAAAAGGAACAACAAAAGTCAGGGTCCATAAAACTCACAAAGTGTTATTATTAAATTATGCACTTGGAAATTCGTGTTAGTCCCTGACCTACTCTATATGCACACAATGGTGGCTTCTGAATAAAGAGTTAGAATAAAAAAGGAAGAGACAAGGGAACATATTAATTGAAAAGCAAGTGAGAGAGAGAAAGAGATCACCAATCCTGGTTTCCAGTATAAGTTCAGCTGAGGATGAACTGGAGGTATCCCTCAGGCTCGTTGGTGGTACCTTTTTATGGATAGGTTTTCCCCATCCTGGAGCTAAGTGTCTCCCTTTCTAGGCAAATGAGTTACCATGCACAGTTCCTTCTTTCAGACCTGTGTGCAAGTGGGTCCCAGGGCTTTGGGGGTCTTGTGTGGTATTGGTCACCCCCTACAGCCCATTCCTGCTTCTCTGCCTCATTCCTGCACTTGAGCTGTACCTGTACTTGTGCTTATCTGAAGGAGCCACAACAGGATATTTGTCCTGGAAAAGTGCTGTCTACAACTGCATGGCCACATCTTACTCTTTCTCAGTTTGTTCTGGCCAACAATCCTTAAAAATTACCAGCAGACCTTACCTGTTAGTACCAATAATCCTTGGTTATTACCAATGATTTTTAGTTATTACCAGCCGGCCTTGTCTATTAGTATCAACAGTCATTGATCATTATCAGCATCATTGTCTGTTATTACCAACGATCTTTGATTGGCTTTACAGCCATCCAGCTGTTGGTGTTTCAGACATACACATTAGCCCCTTATCTTCTGGGATTCTGTGGTTATCCTGCCAAAATGACGCTTCAGGGGATTCAGTACCTTCCAGATAGCATGGTCATCAGTTAAATACCTTAACAGTTAGGTGAATCCTAAAACAATCCAGAGATTTAAAATGGAAGAAACTTTTAAGCCAATCTGCTCAAAAAAGGTCTGACATCAAAATTGTATCAGGTTGCTCAGGCAACTGCTGAGTTTTGAAGATCTCCAGAGTGGGAGATTTTACAATGTGCCAATATGGCAACCTCTCCCATGATTTCACCACAAGGTTGCAGGAAGGGGTTTTTCCGATAGTACAGCTGGAATTTCTTTTCATTAGCTCTTATATTTCTTAGAAGAGGCTGACTCTGACATTTGTGTGTGTCCTTTTTACCTTGTGAGAGACTGCCAATGAAGCCCTTCTTACGCTTCTGTTCTCAAGGCTAAAAAAACCCTGGTCCTGTAGCCTGTTCCTCTCTCACTCCTATTCTCCAGTCACAACTATTTCATTGCCCTTTGCTGCTCTCACTTCCAATTAATTAGTAGCTCTGCTTTAGCTCTCTAAATCCATGTTTGCCACACATGCACAGGGTTGTAGCCTTAGTTTCTGATACTGTGTAATACTGCTATTATTGACAGGCTGCTGCATGATCAAATATATTAGACTTGACTAATATTTTCTGTCAAAAAAAATGCATTTATTCCAATAATGCAAAAATACAGGTTCTCTGTTTTATGCTAAAACTATGGTAGATGAAACATTAAACAAACTATGTTGAGAAACATTATGAAATTGATTGGGGCATGAAAAAAGAACTTTTCTATTTACGATGTTCTTTTTCATCTCTTTTAAACCACTTAGTGTTATATTCTTGTACTCTCTTTTGCTCAGCCTAGGCCATTCAGCCCTCCGTTGACCTCTAACTCAAGTCCACCTCCAGCAGCTCCTCTGGCACGTGCAGAGAGCATTTCCTCTATATCCTCTTCTGCTTCCCTCAGTGCAGCAAACACACCTACAGTTGGTAAGTTTAATTAACCATTTTATCTTACTTTAGAAATAAGATAACTCTGCCACTAGGTTGCACCTATTAGGAGAATCATTTGTTGGAGTTAGGTGTTTCATATGTGAGTCCAGGTACTTCAAGCATCCTTTGCAATACCTGCTTCTAAATGACACTGAGACACAGGAAAGTGGATTAAATTAGATTAGACTACAGATCAAATGATAAATTCTTACTTTGTATGCATGTTTATCCATCAAGTACAGCATTTATCATGTATATATTTGTTCAGAAGGTGTTATTGTATAGGTGCAGAAGTACTTCTGGATACTGAAAAATTTGAATGAATACAAATGTTCACAAAATTTAGTTATTTTATGTTCTTTTTTTGTTTGTTGTTCCATAATTTCAGTTTCCTAAAAATAGATCTAATACATCTTTTCCTTTGAGTTAGTTAAGTATGTAAGCTAAGCAGGTGTTCAGTAAAAGCAAAACAATTAAAGAAGAAAGATTAAGAAGAAAAGCATATCAGTCTTCATGTGTTGCCACTAATTTCAGGATGTTTTCTCTTGTTTTTAAAGAAAGGTCCTTCAGTTTTGATATTTGATTATGACAAATAAAAATGAGACATTCAAGGTTTTTTAGTTACTGGGTTTTKTAGTTATTTTGGGGAGGGCAGGGCTTAAGCCTCACTCAGGCTCAGCAGCTCAGAAGAGCATCTGTGCATCTAGTGGGAGTTCTGCAGGGCGGTTGTTTCCACCCTGCACAGAAGCAAAGCTACTAAGTTCTGCCCAACCTTAGCTCCTACAGTTCAGTCTCTACCAGTTTCACAAATGCTGAGAAGCATCACAGAAACACGGCTGGTAYGGTGATTGCCAGAATCTGTCCAGGCACACATCCTCAGATCTCAGCCCTGGTTTGAGGAACCAAAATTTGGTGGCATGAGCACCAATATCCCCAGCTGTGGGGGTACGTGTGTAATGTTGTTGGAAAAGTGGCAGAGTGAAATTGTGAGGTGAGGCAGGAGGTAAGGAGGTGTGTGCTTACACTGAGGTTTGATGTGGTAATTATTCCAGCCTAAGAAAAATAAATAAGGCCAGTTCCATCTTCACTGACTGTATGAATTAAATAGTCCTGGGAACATGGGAAGGACAATGCACAAAGCTGAAACACTTTTGATATGAGCATATATGCAATACATTCTGTATTCTTTTGACTTTTGGCCAATCCAATGTTCCCTTTACCCCATTTGTTCTGAATAATGGAGAATTGATTCTAATTATCTTTTTTCTGAGTGAACTTCAAGGCATGCATAATTGTTGTWTATTTTGTTCTTTAGCCTTAATTTAATTTGCAAAGTATTTTTTAAAATATTAATTTTTAACTTCTATTTTTGCTTGAAATATTTTGTTTYCTTGCAATGTTTTGTTTCATTTAAATGTAAAAGACGATGATCTTTTGATTCGAAATCTTTCTACAATTGAAAAACTTTCTGAGACACCACCAGGTATTGTACTCAAAGCTCATTTATGTCTTAACTAATCATCCTAATATACTATATCTAATAAAATTTTACTTTTCTAATAAGTTTCTCCAGATATTTCTGGTATCTTGCACATACAAGTTGCTTGGAATCTCAAATACTTAATGGGCTGTATGATGCTGAAACAGCCAAAACTTGATATAACTGCTTTTATTTAATGTTATCTTCTGTCTGTCCACTTCTCTGCTCCATAAATAAGCTGAAACTTGGCCTTCCTTCTTCAGTTTGTCATTACTACTTTCGTTCAAATAGAATGAATATATTTTTACTTTGATAATCCTTATTCTCCTAACACAAGTAGGTAAAAATGATTCTGTATTTACATATAATACAAATCTTAGAAGACAGACATAATAAAGTTTGTACTATTTGTACTAAATTTTATTTTCATGACAGCTGTGTAGGCAGTATCAAAATTGTCTGGATCTTTGTTCCTAAACTGAGMTAAAACCATTTGATCATCTGTATTCATCTGCCCTTTTTATCACCAATGGTGCAGTGTTTTCGTCTGCACCTTGAATATGTCACTAGCTCTTGTATCAGCACAGCTCAGGGGCTGTTCGTGGCAGTCAGGCTGAGGCAGGTGGCAGRGTATTTAAGGCAGCTTTGCCATCACTGCCAAAGGTGCTAGAACTGGAGCCCTGATCTGAGCTGCAGGAAATGTTGTGACCTTTGCTCAGCTCTGTTATATCCCTTCCATCTGAGGCCTCACTGCAGATATAAGAAACACTGAAGCTGAATGTTGCTGCAYACATTGGATTTTACTTTCAGCAGCATCAAGACAACAAATCTATAACTTCCAATGTCAAGTTAAGCAGTTATGTTTGTTTTGTATGCTAGAATGGCAGATTCATGAAGGTTGGGAAAATACTTCCAAGATCATCAAGTTCTTGACCAATCAACACCTTGTTAACTAATCATGGCACTAAGCAGTTCAGTCATTTCTTGAACACCTCTGGGGATGGTGACTCCACCACTTACTTGGGTAGCCCATTAGAAGTGAAGAAATTCTCCCTCTTGTCCAAACCAAACCTCCCCTAGCACAGCTTGAGGCCATTTCCTCCAGCGCTTCCTGTCACTGGTTGCCTGGGTTAAGAGACTGTCCCCAGGTTTGCTACATCCTCCTTTCAGGTGGCTGTAGAGCGATAAGTCCCACGCTGCCCCCCTCCCTTGCCTCCTTTTCTCCAGGCTAAATAGTCTGAGCTCCTTCTGCTGTATCTACAGTGACTTACTGTCCAGACCCTTGCCCAGCTCCATTGCCCTTCTCTGGACATGCTCCAGCACCTCTGTGTCTTTCCTGAACTGAGGGACCCAAAAAGGGACACAGCACTCAAGGTGTGGCCTCACCMGTGCCCAGCASAGGGGGACAATCCCTGCCYTGGCCCTGCTGGCCACACCATTGCTGATSCAGGCCAGGATGCCATTGGCCTTCTTGGCCACCTGGGCACACCCTGGCTCATGTTCAGCCGCTGTCACCAGCACCYCCAGGTCCTTTTCCTGTGGGCAGCTTTCCAGCCACTCTGCCCCASCCTGTGGCACTGCCTGGGGTTGTTGTGACTCAAAGGCAGGATCCAGCACATGGCCTTGTTGAATGTATAGTACTTTCTACATTTTTCAATTTATTGGTTTCTAGGAGAATGCATAGACTCTTAAATCAGGGGATGATGAGCAGTGGGAGCAGAGTAAACAAGAGGGAAGGGATCTCATTTGTAGTTCCCCAGATAGGTCTCAGAGAAATATATGTATGTATTTGCTTTTATGCTCCCTAAAAAAAAATGTAAAAATAGTGTTATTATTTCTAATAAATTTCGCTCTTTAGTCAAGAAGACAGTATTTATCTTTTACTGATAGGAATATATTTGCATTACTCGGCATAATTTTTCAAATRTTGATACAAAAATGTACATAAGGCTTTTAGGTAAAATATATAAAAATAATTGATACAGCTGAATATAAGGTAGTCCTATCTGCTCTATAGTTTGTTGTTTCTTAATAAATTGGCAGGAAAAGACAGTGAAACTGCTCAGCAACTGTAGCACTACATTCATTGAGTGTACACTTCGGCTTTAGTGAAGAACAATTCTGGAGTTCACTGGTATTTCACCAAACAAAATTTCTGGTAATTTCTTGTTGCACATTTGCCTCCTGAAATAATGATACCTGGATTCCTGAGATTCCTGAGACTCACAGCTTTTGTTGGTAATTTTGAGGGAGAGAAAAATCTTTGTAATCAAGATTTCCTGAAAGAATAAAGAAAAACAACCTACTGATCATACTGAGAAAAAAAATAGCAGTGGTTTGTAGCCAGAATTACAATAAGTAGTTAATTTTAGAATTTTTGTTTTTCAACACTTGTGACTAGTTCTTTTGGATATAAGGAATCCTAAGCATTGCACAAATGTTTTCATGGTACTGAGAAGCATTCTGAACATTTTACTCGATTGTGTGGGAAATTGTAATGGAGAGTGAGGTATGAGGTACCAGAATTAAACCAGCTCCTATCTTTTGCTTTCTTTCTGTCTCTACTTCATTCACTTATCTAATTTAAGGTCTAATATGAGACATTAGGTGCTCTGTGAGGAACAAGGCTCCAACTTCCTTTTTGCTTCTGAAAGAGCTCAGAAAGGACAGTCAGAGTAAATAAGTTTAATTTGCCATGAGCAATATTTTACAAAGGCATTTTGTCTCTGCTTTACACTATGAAGGGAAATTTCGGAATTTTCTTATGAAAAGATGAAGACTCTGCCTCCTATGTGATAGATAATATTATGTGATACAGACCATTTCTGCAGTGCTACAAAAAAGCATAGTAAGATACTATCTACCACACTGCTGCACTAAGAAAAAAAGAAGAAACTTCCAGTATTGTTTTATATTCCATACACACATAGAAAATCTGTGAAAAATGAAATCCCATGACAGCCTGTTTCATCAATTGTATACATGCATTTCAAAAAGCCTTAGCACAAGGTCTTAATTTTATAGCTCTATGTTGGAATTATGTTGTGTTGGCACAAGCAACAAGTGAAGACTTCCCCAACAATTTCTGTTTGGGAATTGCAATGTTCATTGGCTGAAAAAGTTAAAAGTMATTTTCAACAGTTTACTTATGTGTGGTAATGCTGATGAATTTGCATTTMAGTTCATTTTTACTGTCAGTGAATTCTTCATATTTCTGTGACCATTTTTTCATACATTTTGCCATACGAAAAGCATACAGTAGGGATTTTTTTTTCAAAGCATTCTAGTCAATTTCCTTTGGATCTGTTGACTTCACCCTGACCAGTGGCCATTTTATTGCAATGTTCCTCTGTCTCATGTGTTTTTCCTTGTGTTCGTTTGCATAATGTCATATCAATAGTCTGGTGTTCTTAGGCTGCTAATCAATGTTTTGGTGATACAATTGTACTGTACTATGTATATGTATTTCTACACACTTTTCAGATAATACCTCAGATGGTTCTATGACCCTGGTGTAAACTTGTGAAAACTACAGATGTAGTCAATCATTCTGAAATCCATCACTAAGCATTTTGAAAATTAAATCTATACACTGTATGTATTCTAGGTGTTTCACGTGGTCCCAGCCCCGTCAGCCTTGGAAACCAGGACACCTTGCCTGTTGCAGTAGCCCTTACTGAATCTGTTAACGCCTACTTTAAAGGAGCAGATCCCACAAAGTTAGTTAAATAGTGAATTGTGTTGAATGTAATGAATTAAAATAAGAAAATACACTGGGTCTACTTTTCATACTCAGGGGGGAATGAATATACATTAGAAGGGGGATTTAAAGAGGTTTTTTTCCCTTGGGTATAAATGACAACAGTAGCTTATTGCTCTGTAATAAAATTGCTCTGAATCCTGTCAGGAGTTCATATATACTTGCTTTACAAAAATGTTTTCAGTGAGAGTACTGAGAATGACAAGGATTTTTTGTCATTGTCAGGTAGTTGCTACATGTAATTTTGGGCAGCTGAAAGCACTTCATTCCATGTCCCATCCATTGCTATGCTACTTAGGCCTTGCCTAGGCATAGCTGTGCCATGTTTTCAAAGCCTGAAAAATACCCAAGGCTACTGTATGCTTAAGCAGTTGAGTTTTTTTCTTTCCTATTTCGTCTTGCTTCCAAAATGAAAGTGACAATACATTGTCACATTACTTCATTTGAGATTGAATTTCTGTTTTTAATTCAGTGCATCAGGTTGTGAAAATATAATGGTTGCTTTAAAAATATATTAAAACTAGGCAATTAATGAGTTGCAAAGAGGCTGATTTTTTAATCCTTTTCTAGATGTATTGTGAAGATTACTGGTGATATGACAGTATCATTCCCAAGTGGGATTATTAAAGTCTTCACCAGCAACCCATCTCCTGCTGTGCTCTGCTTCAGAGTGAAAAACACAAGCAAATTGGAGCAGATTCTTCCAAATGCRCAACTTGTATACAGGTCTTGTATTTTTTTTTAACATATTTGCAAACCACATAATTTATGAACTGTGAGTTGTGTATATAAATTAGGATTCTTTGCAGTCTGGTTGAATTAGTTACATATAGTTTAGTTTTCTGAATTATCCTTGCTCAGCTTAGTTTTCGTCACTGTTACTATTAAAAATGTCAGTGATTACTGGACTTGAAATTTGTGCTCAGTATAACAGGAGCCATTAAAAATAATTTGTAAATGTGTCTGTGTTTCTATGTGCATTTTATAAATAATTTCTTTATAGAGTAGTAACTTAATGATGAAACAGTAGCATTAGATGGAAAACTAGTAGGAGATTCACATTCTCTCATTTGCCATCTACTAGTGTATTTTAAAGCCGAATCATTACACTAATCAGATTCTTTACATAACTGTCTCTCAGATGCGTAGCAGCATGCTTGGAAGAATTTGTAAGTAAAAAAGGTTGCTGATAGAATCAGATAATTGCTGAAATCACACTTGGAGGTATTCGGGTTTTTTTAAATAGAAAAGCTGGAATTTTTTAGCAGAAGTATATTTTAGCTGAACAGCTTCTATGTAATTTATATGAGAAATTATTTGAACACTAAGTAAAATGCTTTTAGATASTATATTTTTAAATTGCTGAAGTAATGAGTGAAACCATATGTACCTATTCTTTTGTTTTAATTTCATTTTATTAGTTCATACTTGAAGTAGTGATTAATTCATACAAAATTAAGTTTAATCACTGTTTGACATGACAGTTTRTAACTGAAATGTTAGCAGAATTGTTACCTGACAAAGTGAATTATACTGAAAAAGCATATTTTGCAAAAAAAAGGAAGTCTTGTGTTCTTGTATGAGTGGTGTAATACTTTACCCCTAATTAGTGATCTTTTTTTGCAGTGACCAGTCACAAAGTGACTCCAGTACTAAGGATTTCTGGATGAACATGCAAGCTATAACTGTCTACCTCAAGAAACTATCAGAGCAGAATCCATCTGCATCCTATTACAATGTGGATGTTTTAAAGTATCAGGTAAACACTTTTTTCCTTTTGGACTTTCTAAGGAATTCCAGCAGATTTTATATCTATCCAGAAATCAAAAGAAAAATTCTTTGYCTGCCAGCATGCAAATTAACTGTCATCCCTCACCTAAGACAAATTTTACCTATGTCACTGTTGGCACTCATAGCTGCTATGCCCCAAGTAATTTCCTAAGATGCAGGGCTTTTTTTTCAGCTTGCTGATGCATCAGTCCAGTTTCTGCATGCAAGTTTCAAACACTGCTTTTTTAGTATTTGTTAGCAAAGTCAAATTCTTCTTTAAGAGAATTGATGGGGGCTTGTTGTAGTTTGTACTTGTACTGTCTTTGATTTTGCAACTGCCTTAATTTTGGATGCTGTAGCTGATGAATTTTAATACATGGCAATGTCTTGCAGCTGAAGGAAAGTAGGTTTAGATTAGATGTTAGGAAGAAAATCTTTACTTAGAGGGTGGTCAGTCACTGGCACAGGTTGCCCAGAGAAGTTGTGGATGCCCCATCCCTGGCAGTGTTCAAGGCCAGATKGGATAACCTGAGCAACCTGGTCTAGTGAAAGTTTTCTGTGACCGTGATGAAGGTGGGTTGGAGCTGTATGATCTTTAAGGTCTCTTCCAACCCAAAGCATCCTGTGATTCTATTTGAGAATGTGTGACATTCTGGTTTCTCACAATATAATAGAATGGGAGTAGTGAGAATAGATTTACTGAGGAAAAATCATGTTTGACCAAGCTGACAAGTGTCTGTGATGACATGACTGCCCCTGTGGATGTGGGCAGAGCAGTAGATGTTGTCTGCTCAGACTTCAGGAGGGCTTTCAACACCATCTACCACAGAGCCCTTACAGAGAATCTGGTGAAGAACARATTGGATGAGCTGACCAAAGGGTCACCTTGCCCTCCTAAGGGARTTCAACAGGCTGCAGAAAAGACTGAGAGGAACCTCATGAAGTTCAGCAAGAAGTGCACTTGGGGAGTCATCAGCTGGACAGAAAAGGACRTGGGGGTCCTGGGGGATACCATGTTGAACATGAGCCAAACAAAGTGCTCTTGCTGCAAAGGCAACAGATGGTCCAGATAATCTCCTGAGCTGCATGAGGCAAAGTATTGCTAGTAAGTCAAGGGAGGGGATCCTTCCCCTCAACACTGTGGTAACTCCACACTTGGAGTGCTGTGTTCAGTTCTGGGTTATTTATTTTAAGTGAGACTGGATAGAGATCAGCAAAGGGCCATGAACTCATGGTGGGACTGCAGTATTTGTCCCATGAAAGAAGGCTGAGAGAGTTAGGACTCCTAAGCCTGGAGAAGGGAAAGTTCAGGGAAATCTCATCAATATGGATGAGTACCTGAGAGAGGGCACAATACTTGAGAGAGGACAGAGCCAGGCTGTTTTCATTGGTGCCTGGTGACAGAAGCAGAGGCAATGGACACTCACAATGGACAATCACAGGAGAGATTCTCTCTAAATATCCAGAAACWCCTTTTTCCTGTGACAGTGGCTGAGCACTGGGCACTGGTTGCCTAGAGGGGTGGTGGGGTCTCCATGCTTGGAATGTTCCAGAGTTCTCTGCAGCTTAGGCAGCCTGCTAGAGGTGGCCCTGCATGAGCTGGAGGGTTCTGCCAGACTGCCTCCCAGAGGTCTCTTGTCAACCTCAGCCATTCTGTGAATCAGTGAGATTATATTCTGKCTGTTAGTAAAGTCTCCATGAATATTCAAGACAAACTCACCTCAGCAGAGAGCAGGGCTTTGCTAGGCCTGTGTTGAAATATCCAAATGTCTGAGATAACTGTCTACACACATAAAAACCCTGAAAATTACTTGCCAGTCCAGCTACTCCTGTCACTGTAGTTTCCACATCTGCTTAATATGGGTTAAAATCTTGGCATACAGAATCTACAAAAAGCACGTTAGGCACACAGAATTCCTGAGAAAGATGAAACGAAAAATGTATTTGGTTTGCTGAAATGAGTACTGTGTATTCTACTTGTAAAAATGAGGTATTAGCATGTGGTAGCCCACACAGATACGAAAGGCTTTGGGCTGACAGGGAAAGGCAGGAGTGTGCACCAGGACACAGAGGGGTTCCTCAGGTAGATTGAGAAGGTGGTTGAGATGCATCAGGGCAGTAGAAYGAGCTCAGCTACAGAGAGTATTCAGCCCTCCTGTGGCAGGAAAATAATGCTTTGAAGTGGTAAGAACTGTTCTGCTGGCTCCCTGTCCCATAGAGGCTGGTGTTGTTCTCTGCTGCTGGCTGGTTGGGTGGCTGAATTAGCACAGCACACAACTGCTGAGGATGAAGTCACTTTGCTGAAAGCATGCTTCGTGTGTAAGGCAGAACACCACAAAAACAAAGCGTATAAAATGTTTTAGAGGTCAGAGCRGAAAGGAGCCTTATAGGCATGAGGGAGTTTAAACCTTTTCTGTAAGTATTTAAATTTAAAGTAACAGGAATGCCTTTAGGCAGCAGTCTTCAAAATTCTTGATACTTTGTCAGCACTGGGACTTAGATTCATTACCATCATCCCCCAATTCTTCCCAAAAGGTGGATATTTTAGTTAAGTTGCTTTCAATGGTTTATTCTTTTTCAGGTATCTTCAAATGGAATACAGTCCACTCCCTTGAATCTTGCAACTTACTGGAAATGTGATGCTAGCACTACTGATGTGAGAGTGGATTATAAATATAATCCCGAGTCTATGAATGTGCCTAGTATGCTATCTAATGTCCAGGTTGTGGTACCAGTAGATGGAGGAGTAATAAACATGCAGTCACTTCCACCTGCAAAATGGTAATATTAATACTTTTCAGTATTCATTCAGATTAATTTCAATGTATTTGTTAGTGTCATAGCCTGAAAAAATTGACATGAAGTAATAGCAAAATGTGTAGTATCAGATGTCTAGGCATTTTGTGGTCTGAAACAGATCACATGCAGCCAATTCATATAACCTGACACCAGAAGGACCCATCCCAACAGTGTAATAATACAAGCCTTTATGAAATTTCCAATGTTTGCTTTCTTTTGGCCAGCAGATAGAATAGACAATTTTAATACAGTAATTTGAAATTGATAAAAAAAATCTGGTATGTGTGTATAAATGTATTCATGTAAGGGGATTATATAGAAAAAGTACAGAAATGCAGTTTTTAAAAAGATTTCCTGATCATTCTAGCTTAAAAATTAGCTTCYAATAGAAATAATTTTAAAAGAAACCTCAGTGAGGAGCTCACCATAAGCCAAGTGCATTGTCTCTTAGTTCAAGTGACATGCAGATTATTAGACTGGCTTCCTGCATTTACAGTAGCCCTTGAAAGTGTGACATAGATATCGGAAATGGTTACTGCAAGTTTGTGGAAACAAGTAGAGGGTAGTGACATTAGACAGAGTAATACAGCCCTGGAGCAAAAGGTGCGCAGAATTCAATCACTGTGTCTATGCAGCCCAAGAGGGTCATTTTAATGTGAAGAGGGCAAAGCATACCAAGTTGTTAACCTTGTTTCTTATAGATCAGTTTACCCTGCAAAGCAAGGCTTAAAACAAATATAAACATGATACATTTATTGGGTAGATTCTGATGTCTCTGGAGGCAGTACAGTTACAGGTGCTCATCGGACAGTGTAGTAAAGGAGTATCATTCTAAGTGGAAAAAATCCTTACAGGACTGAATCTTTCTTGACTTGGTATTTCAAGGAAGCAATATTTTTAGCCCAATCTTAAGCTTGTTCTGAACATGTTCAATATCCTACCTAAACAGCATGACTACACTCTTTCTTCAAGCCATTCTCCCTGCCCAGTCTTCTTCCACAAACCCTTTGTAATAAGTTTGAGTGAAAGCAGGAACACCCACCCAGAACACCTGTTGTTGGCTGGAAAGACTTAGGGATAGTTGCATTAGTGAATTCCCCTASGCAACTTCCAAAACCTAGAATTTTGAGCCTGGCAAGCTGACAAAAAGAACAAAACTGAACAAACCACCTCAGTTATGTCCAAGGCAGATCTAGTATTTGTGATGTACTACTTGCTCAGTCTAGTGGATTGGGTAGTGGGGTCTTGGTCTTTTTTTAGAAAAAAATACTTTATAGCTTGACCTCTTTGAGTAAATGCTACCATATGTGCTACTTGTGTGGGCATTTCAGTCCYACCACATCAATGCCAAGAGCAATTTCAAACTTATCAGCACTTCATACTGCTCACAGCATTGAGTTCTTTACTTTCCTTTGATGTAGGTGCTAGAAAGTACACCAGGAGTTAAAATCCCATCAGCTTAGACACTCTTGGTACCCTCTCCTGCTCCTTTACAGTGTCTGAAGATAGTTTGAACAGCGTGTCACTTACACCAATTAGTTTTACTAGAATGGAACTGGAATAAAATTCATGGTTTCAGGATTCTCACTTAGGGGAGAACGGTCAACATTGCTCCYATTCTACCATCATCCTGAAGCATCAAAGCACAGCTTCCAGACTGCTTCCAGAGTAACTTACCCATTAAGACTACAGTAGATTTTGAATTTTGGAGTCATGGGGGGACATAGGACAGTGTTAAATGTGTAAAAAAAGTACTGTATAAAATGTATAAGGAAGTGTGTTCTTCTGAACTCACTGCTCTGGAGTGATGCAGGCACACCYTTCTCTTTTCTTCTTTTCCTCCTGTAGTTTTCCACAGGCTTACCGTAAAATATTTTTATAGACTTCCGTTTAGAGGTGTCTGTAACATACCAGTGAAAATCAAGGGAAATAAAGTTCTAAAACTGGTGCTTGTTACTAACCTACCATTTGCTTACAGGAGTGCAGACCAGATGAAAGCATATTGGAAAATATCTAGCATTTCAGAGAAGTCTGAAAATGGAGGCAAGTTGAACTCTTATTTTTCTTTCTTGTACAGAAAATACTTTTAACAGTAAAAAGGTAATCATTTTAGCTTCTGCCTTCTAATGCTTGTGTACATATCTTCTCCTGCTGTATCCTATTTACTGTTTACCTTGTCAGTTTATTGCCTTCTGAGAGATACCAAAATATAAATTTAATTAAGTAACCTGAAAGCAGTTAGTAGCTCTAAAATGAAGTTTAGATGGGATAGGAAATCATTGCATTCATGCTATCTGGAGGTGAGCAGTTACTCAAATGAAAATAGGTTTAATATCTGTGTATTTTCACATGTGGATAATTGAAATACATTAGAAGGAGGTAAGTAGAAGAACTGGGGCTTAAAAAAAAGAAAAAAAAAAAGAAAAAAATCTTGTGTTTAGATAGATGATTCTTGACCACCATTTTGAGTCTTGGTTTTGACCATAATGACTCCAGGAAAATAATTAATCTACGTGCATCTGCTCAAAGTTGTAATTTACACAATATCGTGTAAGGTACCAATAGTTGTCCTCTGCCCAGTGCCTTCTTTTTGAGCTCTAGTTGATGTCATGACCCTTGCAATCTCTGGAGGTGCAATATTCTTCTGAAGTAGTACAGGAGCCAGAAGGAAGCATATCATCCTCAAAGCCTCTATTTGAGGCATCATGGTGAAATGAGCTGCTAATGTAAAGGAAAGGCCTTTAGTCCTGTTAAGAATTTAGTGAAGGAGATTGTGAATTYACAGATTTGCCTGTAAATATGACTGGTTTCATATAGAAACCAYAAGCATGAAAAGAGAAGACAACTAATGTTCCTGCAAAGGCTGCAAAGTTGTGGTTATCATTCAAACAAAATCAGAAAGAATTTCATTAGGCAGAGTTGATTACTCTAGTGTGGTGTACTTTGTCCTTCACTGACCTCACAGTTCTTTGCTATCTGTCTTCCATTACAATTATGTAGGAATAACCCTCTTTTTTTCTTTTCCTCTCCTTTTCCAAACTCTGTGGCTTCTTTTAAAAGAAGAAAATCATAAAGAAACAAAAACACAGCCAGAGGAAGAGTAACTGTACACCTCCAGAGCAGCGTAAAATTGGCTGTTACACAGTTTGTATCTTGTGTGTTGACAGCAGGCTTGCACATATCCCACTGCTTCTGCTATATTCCTTCTCTTGCCACCATCTTTCCTCCCCTTTTCTTTGAGTATAAACATCTACAGTGCCCTCAGTTCATGAGGAAGTAATACTGTGCTGATCCTGCACTTAAAGGAAGAAGTTGTACAGTGTCAATGTTAGGATAGCTGTCTTCAAGTCTTTTTTCCTGGTGTACAGCATGATAAAATTTTTGGGTTTTTTTATGCCCAGCACATTACGTGGTCTTTCAGTTGGAGAGAGATAAAACACAGAACAAACTTTCAAACTTTTATATAGGAGTTTCCATACTTAGAGTGGAAAGGATTTCTAGTTTACAGAAATAAGGCAGACCTTCTGGAGAAACAAAATTGATCTTAAGCTAAATTTTATCAAGAACAAGCCACTGTGTGAAGAAATTTCTTTGTGTTCTTGCTTTTACCTCAGTAACGTTTCAGTTACTAACTTTCCTTCTCATTTAGCCGTTCTTATGGATAGGAATAGCAAGTTGTGTTAAAGTGAAAATTATTCCATTATTAATTATTTAAATCTCATTTTCCCAGCACACTTTGCAAGAACAARAAAGGGCTTGTTTAAAAACAAGAAACTAGTAGCAATTTGGGGATTTTTAAAATGTGTTTCATAGCCTTCAGAAATGTTCTTCAAGTTAATTTTGAACTATTATTGCTTTATATAGTCTCCATTGTCTCTGAAAAAAATTAAAATTTGTGAGAAGTATTTAATCAGAGCTTGTCTTTAAGAGAAACAGAAATTTCTTTCCTCTGGGTGTGCTACTGTAGAGCTGCATTTCTTCCATTTTCCTGTTCATGTACTTTAATCCAGAGCCGTCAAGACAGCTTTTAAATGTTCTGATGTTCAAATCTGTTAGTGAAAAGCAGATAGTGTCTGTTTATATCTATCTATCTATCTATCTATCTATCTGTCTGTCTGTCTGTCTATCTGTCTATCTGTCTGTCTATCTATCTGTCAGATAGAGCCACAAGATAGATGGTACTAAGTGCTCAGAAATCAGCAAGCATAAATTATAGGGACCAATCAATAAATGCTTACCAGRCTGTCTGATACACAGATTTTGTGTCATCTTGCAGGAATGTATATTGTTTCCCTTTAAATCATTCACTAGTCATTGCCTTAAACAGAGTATTGGAAAAAAGAGGTTTGTACTCTTATCTCTTTCGAAAATTTTATGGGACTGCCAGTGGGAATAGATCTCAAAGGTCACCATAATAGTTTCACTTCTTACTACTAAAACTTACTTTGGAGAGATAATTTTGTTCTTGCAGAACAATCAGCTTTTCAGTTTTGTTGTTTTAATAGGTTCTGGATCCCTCAGGGCAAAATTTGAGCTTTCAGGAGGACCCAGTAAACCAGCAACACTTGCAGTGCAATTCATCAGCGAAGGAAGCACCCTTTCAGGAGTGGATGTGGAACTCGTGGGCACTGGCTATCGGCTTTCCCTTCTTAAGAAGAGATTTGCCACTGGTAAGACACTGACATGCTTATATATTGAAATTAATATTATATATTCTCTAGTGTTACATTATAAAATATGAAATGGATAGATGAGTGATATGTAAATAGTCTTTATTGAAACATTTCTGACAACTGGGTTTGTTTTTCTGCAGTTATTCAGACTGCTCCAAGGAAAATATTGWCAAAGTCTGGGTTATCTACTGACCGCAAAATCTTACCTGTTTTTTCAGGACGGTATATGGCAGACTGTTGATGTACCTGTGAAAGTCGTCGGATCAGGAGTGCAGGAAACCCACTCTGCCCTCTCTACTTTTCAAACACTATTTTAACATGCATTAATTTTTCCAAAATGTTGACCTGCTTTGAGGCTAAACTACAGAAAGTAAATGCACTTTTAACAGTCATTTAGAAAACTTTTTATAACTTTACAATAGCACTGAAGTTAACTTCAACACTGTCTGTAAATTATCAATTGCAATACTTGGGAAAATTTGTTAAAAATTTAGTAACTTCATATAGATGAAGTCAAAATAGTAATCCACAGTTGTAATGAAAGTATAAAATATTATGTTGTACTGTAAACATTAAACCTAAAATGTAGGAAAGCAAGTAAGAAATATTGGAGCTTTTCATAAGTAATACTCATTTTTCAGATTCTTTAATTGCCAGCTTTTAATTGACATTTTTTTAAAGATAGGAGAGGCTAAGTCTCATGTAATTCTTCTATCCATTTATGCCACAAGACCAGCTGGGTTAGAGATGTATAAAAGTAACTTCATGCCCATGTATCATATATAATTAAAATGTAGGTTGTTTTATATAGGGTTTTTTTTAACTAAGTGCAATGTGTTACAAATTGCAAAACACGGCAGAGATTTAATTCTGCCATTAGTAAATTTTTTTGGCCTTGTGATTGTTTGAGTTAATGCAGTAGATTTAATTTATTTTTATATTAATTGCTTAACATTTGTGCCTTTCAAAAAAGCCTGTGCCTATCTAATTTGATACTTATGTGCCTCACTTCCTTTTTCAAAGTTTGGCTCTTCATCAAGAAAGCATGGTGTTTTTATTATAGACACAACTTTATAAAAATTCTCTTCACTGCAGTTTATTTAGAAGGCAGGTTTGCAGAAACTGTAGTTTGTTTTCAAAGAAATTTAAAATACTGAATTACTTCCTTGTGGAATAATTGCAATAGAATGTGGCTTTAGAAAAGGGAGATCCATCATGCAGGACTTGGAAACTTTCATTAGGTAACTTTAATGTCACCAAAGAGGAGAATCTGAAAAATCAGAGAAGATAGGAAAAACAAACTTGTAAAAGCAAACAGTGATAACTTTCACTTTGGCTATAAGTCTTCAGACTTCGAGTGGTTTTGGGGATGTGTGATGTGAATGTACATTTAGTACTTCAGGAGGCATTTTAAAAGGGTATTTTATTACAACAGGATGTCAAATCCTGTCATGTGTTTATTTTTTTCTGTAACTACCAATTTTAATATTTGTACTGTCATCTAATCTGCTTGCTACAGCCTAAGCAYGGGGATGTGACACATCAGTAACAACTTTTTTAAGCAAGTCTCTAATTTAGAAAATATTTTATGTAGTTGTATTACCAAGTTGGTTTTTTAAATGCTCAAATCATAAGCATTGGAGCAAAATAATTAAATAACCTGCATATGAGAATTTCAAATGAACATTTAACATACTGGTGTTGATTTCAAATTATCTGTTAAAAYATTAAAACATGTTAGAGTTAATTCATGCAAAGCTAGTAATGAATTGAAATGCTGAAACTTTACAAGAAATTATGCCTTTGTAGAGGCTGCATAAATTCTAGTGTATACTAGACACCTTTGCAGGTGAGCGTTTCATTGTTACTAAGAACATACTGTACCATAAATTTAATTGGAAGAGTGTATTTGGCTCCTAAGTTGCTAATCTTATGGTAAATTTATTACTTATAAAATGGTACAGTCTTTTTATTGGAATTTTAATTGTAACCTGCTTTACAATCAAACTGATTAACACAACAATACCTTATTAATGAACACCCAAACCTMTTATTGCTATTTTTAATCATGTATTACACTAATTTCTAAGTTAAATGAAGTAGTTAATGTTTCAGCACTTTTAATCTAGCCTTCATTCAGGTGTTTTTCATACATTTGCATTGGGTGCAGGTTACAATTTTGAAGCCATACACRTTTATATAGACATTTTGTAAAGAAACTCAAAAACAATGTAAAAAGTACATGTAGCTATCTGATATTAAAAAAAAAGAAAAAAGTATGTAGCAAGCTGGTTCTTGCTTGTGTATACAGCAATATCCCTTGTAGCTGCCTCCTAAGAAAATTAATTTTTAAACACAACTCTAAACGATCTGAATTTTTATGAATTGTTACTACGTCAGACTGTAAATTAGAGCACACAAGTTTATCTTACAAAAATTGTAAATATTTCTGAATTTTCATAAAATGTAAATTTTTTAAATTTGCATCCATAATAAACATGTAATATATAATTTAAATACTGATTTATATTGCCTGTACTTTTGCAGTTAATTCCACAGATCTTCTGAGCATTAAAGTAATAGATCAAAAGCATGCCTATGCCTATATTGAACATTTTAAAAGTGTTGATTGATTTTTAAGTAAGAGAGGGTAGAATCATGATGAACTCTTTTGTATATTTAAAAATAGGACAGAGAAGGTGGATGGAAAGATGACTTCTCCAAAATGTTTCATCTTTACTAAACTAGAATGTCTGAGACATCTGTAGTGACCTATGCCTTTGTTAAATTGATACACTTCACTAATAGATTAGGCAAAACTGTGAATATGTTTATGAGAAAAATCTTGTCTTGTAGACATGAGCTGCTCTCCGTAAAAGTGCTMTGAAATGCTGTTCATTCCCCATCTTCCTTAATAAGCCTATATCTGTTGTGTATGCAGGAGAAGAATTAATGACAAGATTAAAGTAGTTTTTTCTGATTTTTAACGTTCCACAAGTCAAAAAGAGAAGACAATCTAGTACTACTTCAGCAGTCTGTATGGTATAGACCTTCTAAGCTTTAAGCATAGAAAATAAGTTGAAACTAAAAAAATGTTTTTGAATCTGTTTGTTTATTACTAATCCCAAGGCCTGTAGAAGTTTAGTTAGCAATGACTTACTAAATTCACTTTCTCAGCTGGTTTCATATCACTGCAGTAGAGGTACCATTCTTGTCACGCAGGAAAGCAGTAGTCCAAGGGGTTGATTCTTATCTTCTGCTGGTAAGCAGGAATGAAGAATGCAAATGTTCGGTGGCCAGATTGAATGGTCCATCTAATGTGGTATTCTGTCTTCAACACTGGCCGGAGAATAGGCTAGAGCCTTGGAGAGCTCATGTGTCATTTGCTTCTGCTTCCCCAGAAGCAGAACCTTAGTTATTGGTTAGGGATGTAAATAGGTGCTGTCCAGTTCTTCTGTATTCATTGAACTTAAAGTGTAATAATTCTGACAGAGGCTGTTCTGGCACTTGTGTTAACACTTGTACCCATGTGCTGCTCACAACTGCTACAAACTGGATCACTACTGTCGAAGCAGGTTTGTGATTATCGAAGTACACAATCAGGTCATTTTTCAGTAAAACCTATCTCTACCACTGCCAAATAATATTTACTTAAGGTATTTGAAGGAGCTAAGGTATTTGATTATGAACTGGAACAGCATGCAAGTTACAACTGTGGTGAGTTTTTCTGTCTAACTAAAAAGAAAGATCTTGCATCATGCCGAAAAGGATTACATTTCAAGTCTTGTATGTGTGCAGAGCTTAAGACATACAGATGTTAAGATACCTATCTTTTTCCATTTCAGTTACTATGAAAAGGAAATTATACTTAAGAGCATACAAAAAAAAAAGGTCAGGAATTCCTTCAAGCATATCGTAAGCTAAAAACAGTTCAAGGCACTAAAGCAGCAGATAACATATCTACTGTTGAGGTGCCTTTGATTGGACTGATTACCAAGTCTCTCAACTGAAAAATTAATGTTTATCTTTAACTCTATATATTATTACATCACTAAATATTCCTCCTCAGCTCAGTTTGACTTGCACGTTCCCTAACGTTTATTTTTGAGTTCTCCCTTAGCTCATTCAATAACCAATATAAGGCATACAGTCTTAAAAGAATAAAATTATCTTAAAACTTAAAAGGCCTCTTCTGAATTACTCATTGAACATTTAATACTCTTAATTCTGCATTTTCTGTAAAAGGCTTTTTCCACTTCCTTTGGAATCCATTCTTTCTGTTTTTTAAATCTGGGATGGCTATTTTAAATTATTGTAACCTAAAATATTTTTGTTTGCCATTGTCCCAGCTGAACTTATTTTTRAAAACTCTGTTCTGTTATGTTGTTATTGTTGTTGTTACTACTTTATCAATTATTAATTCTTGCTCCTCAGATTTTTTTTTTAAGTTTATAGTCATAAACCATAAATCATGCCAATTTCATGAYTCTGATTATTCAACTTTTCCTCTTATCATGACTCAATCTGCCTTCTTGAAGTTCTCATTTCTTAAGTTATGTTTTCTGCTCCAGAAAGTTAGCAGTGGTAATGTGTTCAGCAATGACTCGGGTCTTTTTCTATCCTGGTTAAGGTAGCAGCCCATTTTTACAATTGCTGTTTCTCCCCTCCAGATGCCCCTTCTGCTTTGCTGTTTGATAAGCTCCTTATATAATATCCACAGCTTCCCTTCTGCTTCCCACTTTTGTCATGGGTAGGTTATATGAATAGTCATCACTAATACAGAGATGTTAAGGCTGCCCCAGTGTTAGTACKGATAGCATTGTGTCCAGGTAAGATGCACTAAAGCAGTTTGGGAAGAAAAAAGCCAAAGCCCAACTGCCTAAGCTCAAAAGCTGTTACCGTCCACGTGTTGAGCTCCTTTCTTTGGCACCTTACAGGACCATGGATTTAAACAGAGAACCAATGAGAGAACAGAGCTTTCAGCCCCTAAGCACGTGACCTCATTCTTCAGTGCATTTTCTTCTTTACAGTTGAGAATCCCTTGGCCTCTGTGCATGAGTCCCTTCTTGCTTCTGAGCAGTTCTTGGACTAACAACACACATTAAGTGCTTGAGTACCTGAGCACAGGTGGAGTGTTATAGTCTGTGATCTGCCATCTCTGCAGTTGACATCCCTCTGAAGCCCCACCAGTGTATTCCGATGGGTGGGCCAAGGGCTGCTGTGCCTTCTCTCACACTGAATCGCAGTTTGATGCTCCGAGTTACTTGATTAGAAGCACTAGACTGGATGTCCACTTTAGTGCAACTACAAAATAAATTCTGCTTTATTTCAGGATTAACATGTAGATGACTTCTCAATTTTAAAATTGCATCTTGTACATCTAGGACAAGAAACTTGGCCCTCAGACAAATACTGTTACTCTGGCATAGTTTTTCTAGACAGTATAGAGGCAGTACGGAGCAAACATTGCACTCACAGGAGAGAGAATAAAGAAATTACAGGGAAAAATTATTGTGGGTACCAGTGTTTGCTTCATTTTAAGTGGGAGAATATGTATTTGCCACAATTTTCCCATAAAGGAGTTGAAAATCTGAAAAAAAWTTCAGATTGATGTGCAATTAGAGATACTTAATATTTTGCAATGTACTTGAGGAGACTATGAAGCTTCTCAAAACAGAAATATATCTTTAATATGGTGGGAGAACATGGAGAATGTCTTCTCTGTCTATCTAGCTATGAGCTACAGCACTCACCAGCGTTTGCTTACAGGAAACAGTAAGTTTCTCAGAGGGAGAAATATGGAACCTGTACCCCCATTTTCCTCAGCCATGACCTTTACAGATTGCACAAGGTGGCAGTGCTGGTGCCAGCTGCTGTCCAAGAGATGCCACAAAAACACACATTAGAATTCAGTTGTTTTTGGCAAATAGCATCTTCTAGTCATTCCTCCAAGTGATGGTCCATCTTAAAACAGTCCTACAGTAACCTGGTTTTGGTAAAAAAGAGTGAAACCGTAATTGGTGTTTTAGGGAGCAGTTTATCCCCTGTGTGGACAGCAAGAGCGCAGTCTCCTGCTTTTCATGCTATGTATGGTTAGGAAAAAAAAAAGCCGTGGTCACAAGTTGTAAAACAAGCTTTCAAAAAAACGTTACACTGTTCTTAAAAGTGGACACTGTTACCTCAGCATCAGTTTATAAGCAAAGAATGTGCTGTGTTTTGCCCCTTAGGAATCCCGGCCCTGGGAACATAGACTCAGCTTTACCTTCCATCCAGGTCCTCAGTAAAGGTGTTTGTTCCAACACACAGCAGCAGCAGTAGTATCCAGGATACATGTTCACTGTTTCAACTACTGACAATAGTCTACAAGCCATTGTTTTAGTGTGTGGAGCAAATCTTAAGAGCTTGCTAATATGCCAAGAAGCACCAGTAGCCTGGTGTGTCCTCTTCACAAAAGCTATAAAGTATTCACGCCATATGGTGCCATACATGACAGAGTGAACAGAAGACAGATTTTTGCATCAACCCTGTAAAAGCTAAGTGGTAATTTGCAATTTCCTGCTACGCCATTCACTCATCTATTCAGTAATTTCTTTTCTAGAATTAAAAAAAGAGTAAAATATTGTTAAGACCWTGGTTAACATTCATAGGGAACAATATCTTATTCATCTGTTCAGTCAAAGATGGGTTATACAATTGTTTTAAAATTTTTGTCAAGTCTGTTTTGGATGCTTGCCTTTAGCTAAAGGACCTTCTATTCCCTTCGACATTTAATTGTTCTGTACTTGCTCTTTTATCTCCATTAAAATTTATGAAACCCTTATTTGTCTCTCTGACAGCAAGGTAGGTGTTTTAATGGACACATGAATTGTATGTTTACAGTAGATACATAGTCAGATCTAACCAGGCATTTGCAAGTAATGATTCAAATTAATATTAATCACATCAGGTGTGTCTTTCATTGTTCTCTGCAGATGTTGCTGACTCCACAGAGGGTAGTGTTTGCATATACTYAACTGTCATCTCTATAACCCAACTATGGTAGTAGTAGCAATCGGGTCAAGGTGAGGAACATGTTAAAAATACTCTGGGATTATTTCTATGGCGAAGAAACTGATGTCAGCCTCACAAAATAATTCACACTGTATGAGACCTCCTTGCTGTAGTCAGTATTTACTTTTAAATCAGAAAAACACACAGCTGCTGCTAAAGATCATACTGAACTACTTACAGTCTGCTTACACCTTGGCTTACAGAGATCCTGTTAGCTTTCAAGTGGTCTTCTGTCAGCCATGTCTAATYTTGCAGATTCCCTCTGGAGTACTTGCCTGAGTTGAGACATTCTTGTACAGCAGCTGTTTTCTTCTAGGAAGGTCCTAGACTCCGCAGAAGCTGCCATATTTGCTGACTATCAGCAGATAAGGAGCCATTCATTTGTACTGTCAAAATGAGCTCAAAATGGGGGTGGRAGCATAGCAGTTGTGGAAAGAAAAACATAAATGAAACACTCTGATGCAGTTGACAAGCAAAGAATCATAACGACTCATCTTAAGCTGCCTATAGGGACTGCATAACCAAACATAAGTGGCAACCAACTCACCTTTACTTGATTGCATTTGTCGTTAATRATCAGGTTCAAATAGTATGGCCAGGTGCTACTACAAAAGGTCAACTTAGATTTCTGGAGATGCTCATGAAGCAATAATACCTTGATTGAGATGCCTAAAGTAAACACAGCCCAGCTGGCTTATGCTCAATAGTTCAATATTGTCAAAAGGCATGGGCCAAGCTGTCCATCTTCACTCAACACCCCTTTTATTAGCTCTGTCATGCATCATAGCTGCTTGTGATTCAACTTACAAACCAGACATAAGTCAAACCCAGGAAACAAAAAAAGAAAATTCTGTTCTAAGTTAAGCCAACTGAACTACCATGCAGCAGGATCTGGCAAACGCCTGGCACAGGGATTCCCARCCTAGAGGTGGAGATAGGATAGGGAATGAGATCTTCCTCTTTAGACAACAAAAAATCACCAGCCCAGACTACCTGTGAGAGCGGAGCTAAAAACAGCTGGCTCCAATGACACAATGGAAGACTTCTCCTGATGGTGGCTTTAATTCCTGAAGTTATAAACTGTGCAAGATTGATAAGAAAAGCAAATTAAACACGGGGGTAGAAAAGTCCACGGAGAGAGTTTGACTGAGGGTGATAAATAGATRTTTGCTCTGAAAAACAACAAAAATGTTTAACTTCCACTGTGTTATGGAAATGCCAGAATCAGTAAAAACAAAAATAAAGTGAGAAAGAAAAGTATTCAGTAAATATTTTGCTACATTTCTTAGAGGCTGTCTAGATCATGTAGTCACAGAGTGAAAATACTTTGCAATCCAAGAGTATCTAAGGAAAGATACTAATACATAAAATCTAAATCTAAATATTTTTAAACCAGTATATCAGATAAACAACATCCAAGAATTTAGGAAGTTGAATAAGCCATACTGTGGATCATTAATTTTTATTTCAGTTATTCTCAAATACTGGAAGGAATTAGAAGATTAAAAGAAAGATAGCATCCTTACAGAAAAAAAAAAGGAAAAAAAAAACAGGAAAAAGAAAAAGTGTCAATGCAAGTAACTAATAGAACTTGGTGAGAAAATTTGAAAAAAAAAAAAATTTAAGATAATTAGTATCAATCATGGGTGTACCAAATAGAGGTATTAAATTAATTTAGAATAGGTTGAAAATCTGGATCATAAGAATAATAGGGTCAAAGGAAAAAAAGATTTATGTAAGCTACCTGATTTAGAGGTACACAATATTTGGTTTATAACTAGAACAATACAAGAATATAATAGATTATAAAATTAGTCTTAAAATGTAACTGAAGAGGGAATCAACTTTTAAACACCTTCTGGTGGACTCCTGCAGACTTCGTAATACCTAATATTTTTCCAGATACCAGTGTTTAAAAACCTGAATCTTTGCAGATGACAAAAGGCTGGAGGAGAAAAAAAGATCAGCTAGATCTCAAGTACCGTTTTTAACCACTTCACTATTATCCAAAATAGCAGGAGCATATTATGGGATCAAATAAATAAGGACWAAATAACATCACTTTGGGATATCTAAGGACTTTCGAACTATTCTTAAAAGTCATCCAGGGCTAGATCTTGTGACAAGTCTGCAGATCATCATGGGATCACAGAAGATCTGAGCTTAGAGGGAACTGTGAACATCATCAAGCCAGTTCYCCTGCTCAAAGCAGTGACAAAGACCTGAAGTTTTACCAAACT